ACCCCAGTCTACGTGAAAATAACATCCTTACGCTAAAGTCAATACACTGAATACTGATTCACTAGTGCACATGACACATGTATGTATAACCTCATGAAAACAGTGGGGCAATTTACCAACGTACATAGAGAAGTTGCTACATCAACTGTCAACTATAGTTAGGTGAGGTGAAATTGGGTTTAACGTCGCGTCCAAAATTATTGCACCTATTTAGTGACGTGATTACACGTGTGTGTAGGTACTTGGACTAGTCCGGACTAATGCCGTTTTATAGTTCTAGCCCACTGAAATACCATGCCGCCGTTTAACATGAATACCCCACTCAGACACAATATACTGACTCCGGGCCGACCAGTCCTTGCTTTAGCCCCTTAATGCCGAGCGCCAGACAGGGTAACAACAAGTACAATCTTTTAACGTATTTTAGTATGACGCGGCCGGGGACTGAACCCCGGACCATCCGCTCTCCGGGCGGACGCTCTACCACTAGACCACGGAGGCGGGCACTGCCAACTATAATATTCAGCGTAAAAAGCTAAATGATCGTGTTATTTATGTGAAGTATCATTGATTTAACTGGAGGTGATTAACTGCAGTGTAATGTGATTTGGACAGTAAAACAGTAGCACAATGTGCAGTTAATGTTTCATTATATTTTCCGGTGTTGTGTTCATGCTCATTCACAGTTACAAATCAATAGTATGACATTTGTATTCGGTTGAAACGTAGCGACTATCATTTTCACAACAAAATATTCCCTTTACGTCCAATATGATTCCATTGTTTACCTGCAGTGGAACGACGTTCAAGTTGACGATATTAGATACTCATCTGGAATATATTCGTAAAGGCAAACACCACAGTGGTGCTTTGTCAGCGATAATTGTTATATGAATTACGCTACACTTCAGTACTTTTTCAAGGAAACATTTTGCCAAATAAAGCACATGATATCTTTACCTAGATATGGCCCTTGCTGATGTGTTCTCAAGTGTTAAGTGGTCATGTCTGTTTTGGTTGTCTCAGCAACAAACCTTTGGAATCAGTGGCGTTGCTTTAAAGAGGCGTAATCCAAGGGTGACCTCCCAGTGACATCGTTAGCTGAGTTTAAGTGTTGGCTTAATTGCATCCCATCACCAGCAGCTGAAGGGTTGTTATAAATCCTGCTGGGGAGCCGTGCAGGTAGCAAAAGTAATGTAAGTCCCCACGGTCCCTAGTGAGGTGGCCTAACTTTGGTTGCTGGTGATCTATAGCCCATTTTTCTATTGTATTGTTGAATGAAAATGTATTCTTTTAAATGTTCCCAACTAGTTTTAACATCGAAACTGTGATGCTCTAGTGATCTGACTGTCCATCGTTGACAGGTTTTTAATTAAATCAAAATATAATTATTATAACTGTTTCGTCCCGATATGGCTGAAATACTGCCGATGTGACGATAAATTTCACTCACTCACTCGTTAGCTGAGAACGCCACAGACTCGAATCACGTTTGTCTTTGTCTTACGGAATTACATTATTCGCGACCCGTGAAGATTCCGGGGTAGAATAGGTCTTCAGCAACCCATACTTGCCGTAACAGGCGACTATGCTTGTCGTAAAAGGCGACTAACGGGATCGGGTGGTCAGGTTCACTGAAATTTGGCTGAAGCATGTCATCGTATCCCATTTGCTTGGATTGATGCTCATGCTGTCAATCACTGGATTGTCTGGTCCTGACTCGACTATTTACAGACCGCCGTCATATAGCTGAAATATTGCTGAGTGCGGCGTAAAACAACAAACCAAGCAGCATGCTCCAAGTCTCACCGAAGATTGTATTGCGTTTCAGTTACATATCAAGTGAGTGAGTGAGTGAGTGAGTTATTATTTAACGTCACAGTTACATATCAAGTGAGTGAGTGAGTGAGGGAGTTATTATTTAACGTCACAGTTACATATCAAGGTTTCAATGAGAGTATAGTCTGTCTATTTATCCTGCTTTAATAAGTATATATCACAACAACTTGCCAATTTAAGATATCTTTTTGTTGTGGGCTAATACAGGAAACTACACAAGCCAAGATAATCCTTTCTGTAAAGATGCTATTTATGCATGGGGAAAATACTGTGAGGAACACAATCTTGGGGACAGTATAACTATAGAACAAATAATGGAGTGAGTGAGTGAGTGAGTTTGGTTTAACGCCGCTTTTAACAGTATTCCAGGTATATCGCGGCGTGTCAGCTTAATGTGGGAGGAAAGCCCGAAGTGATGCAGGTCTAAGACGTTTACCACTTCGATGAAACCCATGAGCACGGGTATGGTGCTGACAAACCTAGAAACATAATCTGGGAGAACCGAGATTCGAACCCACAATCATAGGTTTCTGGCGTGCCCAAGAACTCTGCACAGCGAATCGCGGCGCCTTAGACGACTGGGCCACCCGTGCCCCCTACAAATAATGGAAGAACCATTATGGTTGAATCATCAATATGAAAAATCATACTTAATTAAAAATCGGTTAAATCAAGGAAATCAATTAATGAGTGATATTTGTCATAACAATGGTTTTCTTTCGTTTGAAGAACTAACAGAAAGATTTAACATAAAAGGAACAATATTAGATTATCAACATCTTTTAAATAACATACCGAGACAATGAGAGAAATAATTAAAGATGAAGATTTGATTTTATACAACAAAGGTATCAACATGGTTTATTAGAATCTACAAAAGGATCTAAAATTTGTTATGATGAATTCATCAGTTAAAACAAATTTGATAAACATCTTGAGAAATGGAAAAAATATATTATCTAAAAATACAACGGAATAAAGTATTTACCCAAATTAGAAAGAAAAAAAACCTTTTTGCAAATGTAATAGCGAAGATCATTTATACATTTATATTGTGATTGTGAACGTGTTCGTTCATTTTGGATGCAAGTGCAGTCACTTATGAAAAGAAGCCTTCAACTTGATATCACTTTCACAAGATATTCTTTTGTCTTTGGACTTAATTCACTGTTGTGAACCATATTCTCCTAGAAAGTGAAAGATGTATTTATGTCTCAAGCATCAAGCCTCGAAGGTTATCTTATGAGACCTTTCTAAAGGTTGTCACGGACATTTGTAAAACAGAAAAAATATATTGCTTATAAGAATAATACTCAATATTTATATCACAAAAATGGAATCATTTGCTCTGTTTGATCAATGATCTCACTTCTTATTTGATTTTAAAGATTTAAATCCTACTGTTTATTTAAAACTAATTTTGTAACCTTAGCAAACAATTTCATTTAATTTGATTTTAATGTATTTCAAGTCAAGTTCCTGACACCACTAATCGACTGAAGCACTCATAACATGTAATGTAAGTACAATTCTGAATACATTATACACTTGTTTATACTCACACATCCACTGTTTAAAAATAATGCCCCCACCATGTACAATTTAATTAATATCACATGCTGTTATGCAATACCTTCCTTAATACTAGTATATTCTCTGCATACTATTGAAATGGAACTTTGGGAGAGGCATTCAGATAAGCAAAATTTTCTTTTTTGCCAATCCCTCCACTTTATGGAAATAAATATGTTTATATCAAATGGAACAGAAATTGTTTGAAAAAAACCGTATATCAGTGCCCCCAAACAAATCGTACACTGGTAGGTTGAGACTTGAAGTACTCGCTGCTGCAACCATCATCAATTACCTTAAACACAATGTGATTATTTACCGTGTAACTAAATTGTGCGTAAATATCGATATTACGAAAGATATTGCTTCATCAAATATTTTGTTCTTTGTCTTCATAAGCAAAATATTCATGGAACGAGGACGGAATTAGGTATGCTCCAGGCCCTGACGGTTGTCTGGTGTTTCTAGTATAGATTTGCCTGTCAACATGATCCCACGAATGTTCGATGGGGTTTTATGTCAGGAGAACATATGTAGGCCATGGCCAAATATTGACGTTCATGTTGTTCAGGAAGTGTCGTGTTTGCCTTGCGGTATGGGGTCTAACGTTGTTCTGCCGGGAGGATTTACCCCGTAGCTGTTGTTGATAAATGGCAGCACAACAGGTCTCAGAACTTGTTCCAAATACCTCTGTGCAGGATAGATGTCTTGAATGGCAACCGGCCTTGTCTTGAAGTCTCCACAGATTCCCCCCCTGGCCATGACTCCACCGCCTCCAAATCGCTGACCTTCATCTCGAAAGAGGCAAAACCTGCCCTCGATCGATCGAAGATGGCAAATCTGTCCCGTTCTTAATTATCTCTTTGTAATAGCCAGGAATGTGTTTATTGTTCGCCTTTGATGTCTACCCTACAATGCAGTTGACAGACCTAATGAATAAAACCTAACAAAAGAATAGAGCTTAAGTTTAATGATGATACTTAACTTACAACTACTTAAATACCTTATGCATCCTGAAATGATAAATAAATAAATAATTGTTCGTTAATGCAGTATGTGAAATATACAAAACAACATTATTGACAACATACTGAAGTGAAACATCTAGTTATTGAAACATGATCAATATACACAGAACTACTCTCTTCTACATATATAACGCGAATACCAATTCACCACATATAATACATATCAATTAACAGTATATATATACACATCCACCGACAACATGCATCTACATATCCACTGTCAACATTTCAATATATATCCACCAACAACATATAGATACAAATCCCATATTTAAGGGACTCCCTAAGCTTATTCAGAAACTGACGAAAGAAAAGACCTTGTGGAATCTTCAGAGTAAAGTCAATATCTTGTCGATGCCACGTGAATATCGATGCAGGCACGACGTCTTTTAGGGATCCTAGAAATCCAATGCCGGGTTGTCTCCCTTTATATCATTTACCATTTTTCTTGTAGGGCCTGCCCAAGCTGTTGCAAATTCTTGGGACGCAGAGGTCGGTTGAGAACCCATCGTCCCAGGCATGTCGGGAAACAGGGGGGGGGGGGGGGGGGGGGGGGGGGTCCCTTAAATATCGTATAAATCCTCGTATAAATACATACGTAAATACCCATCCACCTAGATAATGTCCACTGACAGCATATGATCCAGATATTCTGGTAGTGTGCTTTTTTGTCCTTTGTCTATTGAGCACAGTTACGTTGGTAGTACACCCATTTATCCTCTTCACCCCGAGATGCGACGTCCACTGAGAGGTATGTGCCGTTATTAATATAACAACGAGATCTTTTTTCGTCGTAGTCCAAGCTGGAGCAGGTGCCGTTGCAGAGGTGTTGGCAAGACGTTTCTTCCATCAGATGGACAGTCATATCATATCCAAAGATGACGTGTCCATCGTAACGAACGAGACCAAGCCCCAAAGAAGAACATTCTAAAACAAATAACAAACCGCACGTTACAAACTCTACAGCGAGGTTCACATAACATTGAATTTTTTTGTATTGGTTGTCTACTTTCCCAGTTTAGATTAGGAATAAAACCTAATTTATTGAATATTTGGCAGTGAGTGAGTGAGTGAAATTTAACTTCACATCGGCAATATTTCAGCCATATCGTGACGAAACAGTTATAATAACTATATTTTGATTTAATTAAAACCTGTCAACGGTGGAAAGTAAGATAACTAGAATATCACAGTTTCGATTTTAAAACTAGTCGAGAACAGTTAAAAGAATACATTTTCAATCAACAATACAATATAAAAATGGGCTATAGATCACAGCAACCAAAGTTAGGCCACCTCACTAGGGACCGTGGTGACTTACATTACTTTTGCTACATGGACTATTTGGCAGTGAGCTTTATCAATCAGTGACATATACCCCCTTCCTCGATACGTCAAAAGTTCAGCTGTCGTGTTTCTGTTCCTATAGCTCTCAGATAATACAGTAAAGTACGGTTATAACGAACACGCTTATAACGAACTGACGGATATAACGAACCTACTTTTTGGTCCCGACTATTTGCTGTAGTTATGCTGTATATATGCTTATAACGAACTACGGTTATAACGAACTTAAATTAGTAGTCCCTTTGAGTTCGTTATAACCGTACTTTATTGTACAACAAACGAGGAGTCACTCAAAGCAACGTTATCAGTCAAAGTATTGTCGAAGGTATACCTTCTAATAATTGGTACATACCCAGAAGAATACTGGCACTTTCTTGGTCAGATATTACGAACATCTTCATTATATTCAAAACCCCAGTGGTTATCATTCCTGAGAAATCATCATGGTCGGAGTTAGATTTCAAGGTATTATTTGTGTCTATCTTTAAATTTTAGTGCTTAATGTCATATATTCCAGGACCCAATGTCCATTTACAACGGTCTGAGTTGGTTGGTTGGTTTGTTGTTTAACGCCGCACTCGATGGCGGTCTGTAAATAATCGAGTCTGGACCAGACAATCCAGTGATTGATATCATGAGCATCGATCCACACAATTGGGATCGATGACGTGCTTCAACCAAGTCAGCGAGCCTGACCACCCGATCCCGTTAGTCGCCTCTTACGACAAGCATGGTCGCCTTTACGGCAAGCATGGGTTGCTGAAGATCTATTCTACAACGGATCTTCACGGGTCTCAACGGACTAAGGAGTATTTATGTTCTACAGAGTCACTTATACAAGTCTAGGTATTTGTCTAATAGTATCAGCATTTTCATGACTGTAGGTGCGTGAGTATATGCGTAAGCGTGTTAGGAGCAACTGTAACAATACACGGTGTGCGTCGGTAATATATATTGTTCTTGTTTTCACTTAGAGCGTGAGACCTTTCGGTTTGCACCATTTGGCAAAGAAGCGGTTTTCATGAACGTCATAACATCAGCCACAACGATAGATATAAAACGATAGGGAGATTTTATTTTAGTATAATGCTTACATTATACCATTAAGAAAGTTAAATACTGCTTAATTCCAAGTGAATGTAAATTTATTTTGTCATCCTTTCTCTCTAGTTGGTTGTTGGTTGGTTTGTTGTTTAACGCCGCACTCAGCAATATTCCAGCTATATGACGGCGTTCTGAAAATAATCGAGTCTGGAACAGTGATTGATATCATGAGCATCGATCCACGCAATTGGGATCGATGACATGCATCAACCAAGTCAGCGATCCAAGACACCCGATCCCGTTAGTCGCCTTTTACGACAAGCATGGTCACCTTTTACGGCAAGCATTGGTGGCTGAAGACCTATTCTACCCCGGAATCTTCAGGGGTCCCTTTCTCTCTAGAACTGGGTTAGCTATATAGTAACGTTATATCCATTGTAGTTGATACATGTTATAAGGTTGAGATAGTTATGTCAGTGAAAGATCAGTAAAACTGCGTCAGTCTCTCAACTCTCTTGTCTCGTTAAGAGTGCCCATCTACGATTATTATAAGAAATGATCTTTTGACCTTGAATATATATCTCACTCAACACCTGTCATCCATCAGGTATAATGTTACCCTATAAGTACATTTATGTATTTTTATCGCGTATGGCATGAATTCAAGTACATGGCGACAGATGCTCAGAGCCACATTTTTCAATGGACCTTTGAATCTGTATGGGTGACACACCGATTTGCCTGATGTACATACAAACTGTTTGAGTTTGGAAGGATCTTACCCTCATTTGATGTCCAACATGCTACCATAGATACGCCAAAATATACCTTATCAGCAGGAAGCGTCAGTCCAGCAATAGTCTCATACGAAGTTTCAGAAAGAAGTATTGAAGGATTTATGAATTATGCTACTCTCGGATGAACAGTTGAAGACATAATTTTCCTTTGTGTGGTTAATTCAATATATACTGCCACAAATATATGCCACATAGGCTGTCCAAAAAAGACAGGACCATAGAGTTTACTTTTCGGAGTCGTTTAAATTCCATTTGTACATATCCCCATATTGCAGGACAAACCACTTACGGCCCAGTGATGATTCCAAATTACCATAACCAGCATCAGCATCTGGTGACCGTATGAGGCGGCTAAATGGATTGGGTTGCAAGGTTTGTTTGTTTGTTTGTTTGTTGTTTAACGCCGCACTCAGCAATATTCCAGCTATATGACGGCGGTCTGTAATATATAATCGAGTCTGCACCAGACAATCCAGTGATTGACATCATGCGCATCGATCTACGCAAGTGGGATCGATGACATGTATCAACCAAGTCAGCGAGCCTGACCACCCGATCCCGTTAGTCGCCTTTTACGACAAGCATAGTCGCCTTTTACGGTAAGCATGGGTTGCTGAAGACCTATTCTACCCCGGAATCTTCACGGGTCTTCTGTGACTTGGCTGATAGCGTGTCACCATACCCCCGACCGCGTGCAACGTTGCTACACCCCCCTCCCCCCTAAAAATAGATGAAAAACAACAAAAACCAAACAATATAAAAAAAGAAAACCCTACAGACAACTATGTCAAGTGCTGAAATCAATGTTGTTATGTATGAAGAAGACCCCGTTGTGATTCGGGACTATAATGGGTGCCTACCAACCTATGCCTGTTTTACAAAAGTGAGTTGATTCAGTATTCATGTAACTTGCACAATCATTCTTGCAATAATACTTTGATATTATTCCAGTTTGCGTGCTCAGCTCGTATGCCAATCTTTTTTAGGGTTGTTAACATCACAGCAAGTAAACGGTAACAACTCGTGTCACGGTGTACATTAGAGATAGTAAGTGAGTATGGCTTTGGTGATATCCGGGCACCGGTGACCCAGTCGCCCGAGGCGCATTAATTCAACGTACAGAGTTAATTCCCTTGGCAACACACTTGTGATTGTGGGCTATTTTTCAAAGGGTCGTTAAACCCCACTTACTCACTCACTCACTCACTCACGTTAATGCTCCAGCAATACGACAATTCATGAAGAGGGACATAAGAATGGACTTTCCACATTGTACCAATGACCATGACGTCTTCATGACGTTTTAACCGCTTTACAACCGCCCCAACCATGACGTACAAAACTTACCAGTGACACAGGCCTGTTGTGAGGCGGAAAACCAGTACCCAATCTGACAGGTGCAGACTCCATCATTGCACACAGAGGTCGCCACATGACAGTCACCATCACTGGCACAAGCACTACCTATGAAGTGGGAGGCTGAAAGTATACAAAGAAAACATGAATATCAGGGCTCCACTCCCCGAAGGTTCTTAATATTAAGGGGGAGGTCGGGTAACCGAGTGGTTTAAAACGTTCGCTCATCACGTCGAAGACCCGGGTTCGATTCCGACATTGGTACAATGTGTGAGGCCCATTTCTGGTGTCCACCGCCGTGATATTGCTGTAATATTGCTAAAAGCGGCGTAAAGCCATACTCACTCACTCACTCGTAATGATACGACTATCCGGGCACAAATACTCTAACACAGATTAATGACAGCTCGTAGATCGGTGTGTTGAATGGAGCCAGTTTCTGATGAGCGAGTGAGTGAGTGAGTGAGTTGGGTTTAACGCCGCTTTTAACAGTCTTCCAGTTATATCGCGGCGTGTCAGCTTAATGTGGGAGGAAAGCCCGAAGTGATGCAGGTCTGAGACGTTTACCACTTCGGTGAAACCCATGAGCATGGGTATAGTGCTGACAAACCTAGAAACTTAATAGGGACGAACCGGGATTCGAACCCACAATCATAGGTTTCTGGCGTGCCCAAGGGACGCAACTCTACACAGCGAATCGCGGCCCCTTAGACGACTGGGCCACCCGTGCCCCCCAGTTTCTGATGAAGTAATCGAAACATCACTCGAATATGTTCGAAGGCGCTCCTTGGTTCTTCTCCCGCCATCACTGCTGCAGTAATATATCATTAACTACATGCACCACACCACTCTGCGCCTTATTCTGAAGATTAACAAACCGTTTCACAAAACGTTGAAATTATGCATTAGATCTAGGTACTAATTTACAGCGGTGTGGCTTCACTGATACAGGAAACACAAGACACCTTCCCATTATGACTACTGTTTCAATACGCATACCTCATGGTGCGCGGGGGGGCACGGGTGGCCCAGTCGTGTAAGGCGCCCTGATTCGCTGTGCAGAGTTGCGTCCCTTGGGCACGCCAGAAACCTATGATTGTGGGTTCGAATCCCGGTTCACCCCCGATTTCTAGGTTTGTCAGCACCATACCCGTGCTCGTGGGTTTCACCGAAGTGGTAAACATCTGAGACCTGCATCACTTCGGGCTTTCCTCCCACATTAAGCTGACACGCCGTGATATAACTGGAATACTGTTAAAAGCGGCGTAAAACCCAACTCACTCACTCATGGTGCAGTGACTGCTAATTACTACCTGACATCCCCTGACAGTTCAATGGATAGATACTAAGAAATAGTAGTCATACTGGGAAAAAAGAAAACACATTCCTTGTAGTAATCATTTGATCATTCCTATTATTATTCATATGTTCATGAATTCACACGTTTAAAGTTACAAGTGTCATACTTTTTCCCCAATCACATTGAGTGTAATGGGCCAAAACACCCCTACATGTATATGTCAGTGGTAAAGTTCATCTTTGACAGCCTGGTGAACTGGATATTTAAAGTCATTTTGAATTGTTTATAAGGACGAAACTGTATTCCTGTTTCAAGAACCAGGTCCTTACAAATATCTGGTTCACCACCAGATTAGCGCTCTTTACTCACAGAGATTATCCCAAGATTATCCTAATAATGTAAGGTATTATCTGTAGTCGTTATGAAAATAAGTAATATAAGAAGAAATAATGCAACGAAATTGACATCCACTTACAAAAAAAACCACATCTCTTAAAGGGGCACTGATCTAACGCAATTCCCCGGACTGGTTGTTGCCTTTGTTATTGTTTTTTCCCCCGTGAGTACCCGGATGATACGCAACGCAACTGAGCGTGACCAGAAACTGGGCTACCGTCTGCAAGGACAGCTAAATAAACTTGGAGGCTGGAGGCAATATTTGTTTTACGCATTTTTGCATAAACACTGATTGGTTAACTGTGATCTATACAGATTTCGACAAAGGCCGCATGTTAATTAATTTCTTCAGCCTAAACAAGCAGACAAAAAGAACAGCGGAGCTCATCGGATGTCGTCATTTGGAAATACCCCAGATGGTTATAGTTTTATACTAAAAAAGTATCCATGCAGTGAAAGCATTTTCGGATTTCGGCTTGCGTCGATAATACGATTACTACTCCTTTGTTGACATCCACGTTTTCTCGTATAACCCTTCACTTGTGTATTTGACGTCATTCACTTGATGCTCAGTTAATGAATTTATTACAGGTACAATTAGTGGTAGCACCAGTTAGATTACCTGACAAAGCTTCCCATTTGGCATTTATTGTGTCTGGGGTAATTATTCAATCTAAATCCAGGTTTGAAGTGAGGTGAAATGTGTGTTATGTAATATGCACGTGGCAGCCCAGCAAGAGATGAATGATCAGTTGATTTACCTTTTTTTGTAAATCAACGGATCGTTCCTAGTCATCAAAGGATTAACAGAAAATACGTTGATTGATTAATCACTGTTATCTTGCACAGTGGATATGTCAAGAGTGAGTGTTTACATGTCTAGGTTTACTAAAACAAAGGGAATACACTCATACCATGGCGTGAAGTGCCGATGTAAAAACAACATACTTTGTTCAGAGGGTTAACTTATAATACGTTGATTGATTGATCATTGTTATCTATCACTCAATGGATTTTTTAGGAACCGTGAACGTTATGAAAACAGTTGTCACGTGGGCTTTCTCAGCCGACCATTGAGACTTGACACCTATGTAAAACACCTGAAACAATCCAAGTGATCAGTTGAGAAACGAACACGGGTTATAATATCCCGAAACGACATATATCTTTTAAAATATTTGATTGTTACTGAGACACGTGACATCGAATAAGTTTCTTTGTACATCTGCAGACGAGTGGGATATTATTCCTTTGTGTGGATATTCACGGATACATTCCTCGAACAAGGAAGCTGCCTAAAATTTATACACATAAATTTGGTAGGTTGTAATTATGATATTTGCATTTTGTTTTCCTTCATTTGAACCGATTCGTTCTTGTTTCCCCTCGTCTTGGTTGGGAAATTCTTCAATGCGCGATAGACGTTGTTTTCACAGGTCTTTTCCTTTGTAAGCGTGTATATATTACCGTCAATTTGTAAAATGTGATTCTCTGAGGCAATTTATAAAATGTGTAAATATTTCAGTCATTTTGACTAAAAAATCTCTCCAGATTGATTGAGACGATCAAAAGGGCCTACAAACATCACAACAGATTATTATGTAGGATTAGAAGCCAAACAACATATAAATGTACTTTTCTCAACGTAACATTTTCAATCTCTTGGTGATGACATTAAACATCAAAATGTTTGGAATTTGTTATCATAATAATACAGATGGAAATGTTTTTCAGTCACTGAAAATAACTGAATATTTAGACGTTTAAATATTACGACGTTACACATTTGACAGTAAAAGAAAATACACACTATAAAAAAAGCAATGCTCAGGTGAAATATGTACTTTGTGTTGCAAGTCAAAATAGTGTAAACGAAAATCGCAAAATTACCAAGCAAGTGACTTATCAAAACTTCGTCACCATTACCGATGCTACCCACAAAGATACCTACATTTCCTTATTATCTCGAAAACTGTATTTCATTTTGTTCATCAATGTGACCATACGCCCTTATTACTACCCATAAAAGCGACTAATGCGCTTACGAAAGGCGCAGCAGAGGTCGCGAACTAGTCTAGATTTCTGCTATACATCCGGGTACTCACTGGGAAAAAACAATAACAAAGGCAACAACCAGTCCCGGGGAATTGCGTTAGATCAGTGCCCCTTTAATCTCTTAACTGTTCGTGTATGTTGGGCAGAGTACAGATGACGACTGGAGTAGTCCATTATTCTATAGGTATGCTAATTTTACCCCTTTCTTTTTTAGTTGCTTGGTTGGTTTGTTGGTTAACGCCGCACTCAGCAATATTCCAGCTATATGACGGCGGTCTGTAAATAATCGAGTCTGGACCAGACAATCCAGTGATTTACATCATAAACATCGATCCACGCAGTTGGGATCGATGACATGCATCCATCAAGTCAGCAGCCTGACCACCCGATCCCGTTAGTCGCCTTTTACGACAAGCATAGTTGCCTTTTATGGCAAGCATTGGTTGCTGAAGACCTATTCTACCCTGGATCTTCACGGGTCTTCTTTTTCAGTAGTCATAACGGGATTGAACATAAAGCATACCCTGTCGTGTCTAACTGACATGATTGTCAATTTAGTTAGTGCATATAAAGTTTTGATTACATCATCTGGCATTAACACAATTGAACCTGTTATGATAATGTGAATGCCTGACGTGATGAACATATACTGAACCGCAAAAGAAACGTCACAATGGATAGATATATGAGAAACTTTATTTGTCCAAACACTGTAAACATACTTTGAGATGAAAGATGAAACTTGGCAAAACTGATCATCAAGGTTGAAATTAAACTGTCAAATGTTCTTAAAGTGAAAAACAACCCTAGTCTCTGAGAAACATTGTCAGCCTTTACTTTTAAAAGTTGCTTGGTTGAATTTGTCATGTCAGAAAACATATTATTAGACACTAAAATCATGACTATCGGACAATGTTAACTGTGTTTGTGAATTTCACCGACTGCCAAAAGTGAATGTTGACCCCTGTTTGACCTTTGTTGACCCTTCCCCAAAATGCCCGGGATTTACAACTGGGCAGCCCAAGTCAAAATTGTTCAGTATACATCAGGAAACTCAAAAACACTTTTAAACCTGTGTTTCCATGATTTGGTCACGGGACCTACAGGTTGGTCCTTGACTATTGAATCTTCATTGATGGAAGTCGAGGGCGTCTAGACCTAGGGCCATCATCCCAGCCTTAAACATAGCTGCCTAACGTTTAACAGTGGAATATGCCCATACACTTGTGACATGCGGTCATGAATTTCTTGTGGAGTATTTTTCTCTAAATTGAAAAACAACTTGATGACTGTTCGGTACTCCTTCTTTTCCATGTCTGTGTCCATTTGAACCTCTATCACGTTCGACTGGCTGTCAGTTATATACAAACGGTCTCAACAGACACTTGCAATGAACTACTAAAAAAATGTGCTACACTGACAAATTCACTTTGTTATCGTACATAGTTGAAAGTTGATCAGGGCTTAGAACTTTTTGACCAGACCTCGTATCACTCATGGAGCGAATGAAATATGACAAAGACATGAGACTATTTAAGTGATATACAATTTATTTGAATATTAACATTGTTTATTTTATCCTGTATTCTATTTTCTGACATATTTCCATATCTCAATCAATATGAATGTAGGAGTATTCTGTATCTACACTAATATTTTCTATACTGTTGGTTGGTTGGTTGGTTGTTTTACGCCGGACTCAGCAATATTCCAGCTATATGACGGCGGCCTTTAAATAATCGAGTCTGGACCAGACAATCCAGTGATTAATATCATGAGCATCGATCCACGCAATTGGGATCGATGACATGCATCAACCAAGTCAGCGAGCCTGACCACCCGATCCCGTTAGTCGCCTTTTACGACAACCATAGTCGCCTTTTACGGCAAGTATGGGTTGCTGAAGACCTATTCTACCCCGGATCTTCACGGGCATTCTACACTATGTAGATGTGACAAGTCCTAATAACATAAGAATGGGTGGTACATAATATATATTTCACTCAGCCACATAATACACATAATGCAATTAGTTATTTTTCTTTAAACTCTCAGTTTCTGAACAGGTGCTTGTTTAGAGGCACATGGCACATTACGATTATGTTAACTTCAAAATCAATCAATTAATAGCAAAGGATTTAGAGCTCCTCTTAAAGGTACTTGTGAACACGTTTCTCGTTAGAGTTTTATGTACTAAAATCTTTGTGCATACGGCTCCTCTAATAATGTACTCCATTCTAAGACCTTATAATTTACAATGGCCACATAACAAACTCTCATTTCTAACGTAACTCTGACTTTTGGCATGGTGTGTCTATGCACAGTTATATCACGGCCTGTCAGATTGATGTGAGAGGAAAGCCACACGTGATGGGTGTCTTAGAATTAGGATACTTTTGTGAAACACTTTTTTGTCCTAGGAAGGTAAAAGAAGATGTATTATATTTGATATTCATAATTACCTCTTGGCAGTAGGAAGAGTCTGGAACCTTCTAGAGCAGTGGCCGGAGGGTATATCTTGGTAGGACTAGCAAAGCTTGTAGCATGACCCGTACACCCGCTCGTGATCCCGTGTACCTGCACACTTCGACAGCGAGTATCTTGGAAACAGCGACTGATACACTCCGCTACGCTGTCCATTTGGTCATTCCACAACACGTGCTCGTTCACGAATAAATTGTCAAAGTCAGCTAAGGGCACAAGTTGGGTTTTTTCACACCGAGAACAGGTGTAAGAGTGTATTTGGAGTAGTAGAGATACAACAGAGAAAAACTTACACATGACAAAGGCTGTCATTTTGTTGTGTCCGAGAGTGATTGGAAACTAATATGTCAGATGCAATAGTACGTCCGTGTAGTAAGCGTTGTTGAATCCAATTTGTTGATTCCGACACAGATAGAAACCACACGGAGAATATCAATGCAGTTTGCACTGTTGACTGATTTTCATGACTTCTTTATTGTCAAACGTTTGTAGGATTAACAATAGATGAGGAACGCCCAGTTGTCATTAAGACGAAAACCAAAGCGTGACATATTACTACTAAAACCAATACCAAATCAATATTTGTGTGTTTTACTCTGAGCATTAATTATCTCAGCTATATAACGGCATACAGGTCACCCGACATGTGACCGTTTTTGAGCGAGCTGAACAATATATTCCCAATAATTGTCCAATAATACAATTTTTGTGAAGGACGTCCATAGAGAATAGGTAATTCGAGGTAGAGGCATGGCATCCAGTTTATAACTAACAGGAAACCAAATAATCCATATACATTGGGAAACACATTCATAAATATTTCCCTTTGCTATTTGACAGTCGTCGAAATTTCACAATCACTTATGCAAGATCACACTAGCTTAACCACGTATAAAGCGACAGTTGATAGCAGATTCCGGGATAGTGTGGAGTACAACACAACCCCAAGCCGATCATTTCGTAGTTGCACTCATTCGGTGTAATCTAATCTGAAGGCAGGTGAGGTTAGGTGAATTGGGTTTTAACGTCGCGTCCAAGATTATTGCACTTATATAGCGACGTGCATGCACATGTGTGTGGCTGCTTGTACTAGTCCGGACTGATGCCGATGTTATAGTGCTAGCTTACTGAGATTCCATGCCGCAGTTTAACACGAATACCCCACTCAGACGCCGTATACTGACTTCGAGCCGACCAGTCCTTGTTTTAGCCCCTTAATGCAGAGCGCCAGGCAGGGTAACAACAAGTACCATCTTTTAACGTCTTTTGGTAGGACGCGGGCGGGATCGAACCCCGGACCTTCCGCTCTCCGGGCGGACATGTGTTACAAATTGTGTTTGTTTGTTGTTTAACGCTGCACTCAGCAATATTATATGACTGACAACATGAGCATCGATCCACGCAATTGGGATCGATGACATGCATCAACCAAGTCAGCGAGCCTGACCACCCGATCCCGTTAGTCGCCTTTTACGACAAGCATAGTCGCTTTTTACGGCAAGCATGGGTTGCTGAAGAAATAATAACGAGAGACAATCTAAAGTGGGCTTCAATTGCCACAGGCAAACAATATGATACATAAACAATGAACGAATATGCAAACTCGTTAACTAAACAACCAGCTATTAAGAAATATGGCTAAAACAACACTCTGGCAATGCAATCTGTAAGACACATATATAGACAGCAGATTAAACCGGCTGAGACCAATAATACCTGGGAGTTAATTAACTCTGCACTCTCTAATGAGTGAATAACCTAGGCTTGGCTAGATGGGGAGAAATGGCTACTGTGCACCTATCTCTAAAAAGTCTCAAAAGAAAAAAATACTTCACTTTCTAAGTATACACGTACTTGACTAACATAAGTTCTTGAGTGCGGCGTAAAACAACAAACAAACAAACACAAGTTCTTGACACCCAACAAGAAACAACGACCTTTGCTAGATAATTCTGAGAAAATGTGTTATTCATGATTACTAGATAAAAGGGGTATATTATTTAAATATAATACCCTAGCCAATACGTTTAGCGCCGTACCACCAGGGGTTAGTCAGCATAAGATCAACACTGCCCAATAATTACCGAATAGCGAAACGAAGTTCAAACGTTCATACTGTAGTAGAACGACCCGTCAGGGTCTAACGGTTCCTGGCGATAATTACACTCGGTAGCGCTGTAGCCTGACATGTTGACCTTGGAGAGGACATCCAGTCTCGTCGGCGAACAGAATTGTGGGGAAAACATGAATAGCAAACTAACTATTTAACCATTTGATTTGATTGAAACATATTTGTGCGAAAAGTCAAATTGATTATGCACATGTGACACACTTACAAGGCCTTCTACATATTTTTCATTCATTGTAATACATGTATGTGAATAATAATAGTGCAAAATAAATTACAGTGCATACAAATTATATACACGTAATGAGAATAACACACACAATTACACTGGTTTGTTTGTTTGCTGTGTAACGCCGCACTCAGCAATATTCCAGCTATATGACGGCGGTCTGTAAATAATCGAGTCTGGACCAGATCATCCAGTGATGACATCATGAGCACCGATCCACGCAATTGGGATCGATGACATGCATCAACCAAGTCAGCGAGTCTGACCACCCGATCCTGTTAGTCAATTTGCCAAAGTTAAGTTATTGAGTAAATAAAGTCCAAAAGCCCCGAAATGATGTGGAAGGGAAAGATACAGTTGATGTTAATTAGGTTATCTGATTAAGATGGACAAAAATAGTTAAACCTCAATATATAGCACATATGCAGTTACGTATCACCTGGATGGAAGAGATCTTCCAAATACCTTAAGGGCCTCCAGTCTAGAAGCCGTACTGACATTTAGGTAGCGTAAATAAGCTTGACTTTTCCAGAATCCAATATCTTGGATTATCTCACCGGGTAGGCCTGTACTTAACGGCCCATGATGCACCACCACCACGTCTAAATGAGTGCCCTGTAACTACAACATTTGAACCACATAATGCTAAATTGTACTGAACTCTACTAAAAAATCTGTCACGAGCTAAAGCACATAGATTATTGTCACACAACAGCGGTTGTAGCTGCCCAGTATCTGCATGCAGCAGCAGCAAAGACGACATAGCTTCAAACAGATTGAGGGGATGTCCCTTGATGTTAGGGAGAAGCACCTGCAGAATTCTCTCCCTAAACTATGGAGTTTTAGACCATTTTAAATCTATCACAAACGCTCCATCGCTCAGGGAGACATCTTCAACACACATGTGCTTGCTGGCATCAAACACACTTTTACACAAAAAGTTGCTAGATCTAAGCATACCGAAAAATCCTGTTAAACATGCAGTCCGGATGGACGCACCCAATAAATTTGTCAAGTTCAGCTTAGAACGAATCATCAATAAGTGATGGGGAATAATGGGTGCTGCACACTTTTAGAGCATCACCTAGCTCTCTTCGTACACCCCTGAGCAGGTTCTGCACATGCCAGTTATCCTTCAATGGATCATCAAGATCATTCATTTTGTGAATATTAGACACAATGCACAAATATTGTCTCACAGTACTGTACTTAAAATGCTTTATATCAACCATGTATGCCACAAAACAAGTAAGACACTCATAATGTCTTGTGATTCAGTATTTGCGCTATTTGTGTTGGCTCCACGCGCAGTACAACTTTGTGTTGAAAAGCTATCCATGTGCCTGCCAAGTTTAACGTTCTTGCAGATTCTGATTCTAGAATACATGAGCCTGGACAATTATCATGAGATTTTACAGCATTTGCAGTTGTCTGTTTTAGCAGAGTATCTCTTTATTGGCATATGTCTGAAAAATTCATTTCTTACAGATGGGACCCGTGAAGATCCGGGGTAGAATATGTCTTCAGCAACCCATGCTTGATGTAAAAGGTGACTATGCTTGTCGTAAAAGGCGACTAACGGGATCGGGTGGTCAGGCTCGCTGACTTGGTTGATGCATGTCATCGATCCCAATTGCGTGGATCGATGCTCATGATGTTAATCACTGGATTGTCTGGTCCAGACTCGATTATTTACAGACCGCCGTCATATAGCTGGAATATTGCTGAGTGTGGCGTTAAACAACAAACCATCCAACCAACCAAATGAATCTGATGCGTGTGACTGTCTTGTCTTTCTTAATAAAGTGTTTGTAAATGTCTCTCGTTTTATGAGATTCCTTCACTCGTGTCTGGTAGTAGTAATTTTTTGTAAAGGAAATGACGTCACGTGGGTAATTAAATCAAATATTTTAAAGACATAGTTTCAAATCCAACCCCTAGTTAAAGCATTTCATGTAGATATATCTGAATCCTTTAAGTTTTAGAAATACATAAGATAATACTGATAATGACTGCTAAAACGTCATTCATGTGTATAATATTATATATTCATAATTATACATCAAATGAAATAGATTAACTTTGTGAAATTAAGTAAAGAGAAAAGCATTAATAACATGACTGATTCGTGTTTGTATGTGAATTTGAAAACTGATAATCAATCAAGAGAATGAAACCAAACGAGGCTATAGGTCTAGTTTACATGCTTTCACCACTCAGTATTAGAAGTATTTTGGTCTCCTCTACAATCATTATGGCAATACCGTCAAAGGACAATTCAAAGTCCTTGTTCTACTATTAAATGGGGTCGCAAGCCAATGATTTGGTTTGCCAATCAGTTCTCTTGAATAATGGATGAAATTCTATGTGGTTTAAACATCCATTGTAGGACATCGATTTGGAAGTAATAAAACGATGGTAATTAAATCCTTAATAATGCCTATAAATTGGTCACATTTAATTATTCATGAAAGATCCTTGTGGATCCTTATTAGGGCATGCATTATTCCAGCCGTCTTGTTTCATCCTAGTGACGTATATAGCGCAGGTATCCAGGTATTATTGTTGGGATTGTTGGTAATACAATGGCTGCTGCTGCTGCTAAGGCAGCTTTCAACAAATCTGTGACACCACTTCTTCTACCCTACAGTGATTATAAACCTGTCATTAGATGTTACATCAGAGATCTAATGCAGAAGAAGTGGGACACCCAAGTAGGAATCAATTAATTACATGCAATAAAAGCGAATATAGGTTATACCTACTTGGATTGTCAGTCCAGATTTGAAGAGGTCGTATTAAGACGATGTCGTATTGGCCATTCTCGATATACTAATGAATATTTGTTGAAAGGTGAGGATCCTCCATTCTGCATCCCTTGTGATGAAAGAATCACGGTCAAGCATGTCCTGCTTGACTGTATTGATTTTTCCATCACAAGGGATCAATATTTCAAAACATCATCTCTTAAGGATCTTTTTACTAGTATCAACTCTCGTTTAATTATAGATTTTTTTAAACATATTGAATTGTTTGCAAAGTTTTGATTAACAATATTGTATAAAAACTATGTTTTAAACTTGGTAGAATAGATTAACAACTGCGATTGTAAGTGGCTGTATCCTCGAAGGGGGTTAAAGTACAGTAAACTTATTGTCCCCTGGAGAGGATACATATGTTCCATTTCTTTCAAAGTAAATTTATAGATATCACATTTTTAATCGTAGAATATTTGTTCGTTTTAATTGGTGGTTAATATTGACTACAATCGCCAGCGACTGAAGGGATGGTGTAAATCCTGCTGGGGAGCCGTGCAGGTAGCAAAAGCATCGTAAGTCCCCTCGGTCCCTGGTGTGGTGGCCTAACTTTGGTTGCTGGCGATCTATAACCCGTTTTTATATTGTGTTGTTGAATTGTACTTTATTCTTTTATATACTCTCAAACTAGTTTTAACTAAAATCTGTGATACTCTAGTTATTGTACTGTCCTTTGTCGACAGGTTTCATAGTTCAGTTTTGTGTTTCATGAATATATAACTTGATTTAGTCACGATATGGCTGAAATATTGCCGATGTGACTATAAACTATAAAACTAACTCACTCACTAGTATCGACTCAAATGCAGATTTATTTGTCCCCCGACCAGTGGATCCGTTTGCGTTCCAGTTTTATCATTCTCAACTCCCTGGGGAGTACACACCCCAAGCTGCCTATAGGTGCAAGAGGTTTTTACATCCACCTCATATATCGGGTACCTGTTCCCTTCCGGGTGAACAGAAGCATTTGCCCTGGGCGACACCAAAAAGTTGTGACACTTGTGTTTCGAGTGTATGTACGTATTCGTGTTCCCACCTTCTGGTCATCAACCATCGTGTTCGAGTGGGTTCCTTTAAGTGCACATGGTGTACACTAGGCGTCGTGACAACACTGTAAACACCTGGAATCATTGTTGGTCCCAAGGCTGAATAACAACCCGGTCACTAGCGGGATACGATCTCAGCACCTGGCGCTTGAGTGCAACAACTGTGGGAAGTTACCCACCAAGAAACGACTTTCACTGTTCAAAGTGGTTAGTGAGTGAGTGAGTTTGGTTTAACGCCGCTTTTAACAGTATTCCAGTTATATCGCGGCGTGTCAGCTTAATGTGGGAGGAAAGCCCGCAGTGATGCAGGTCTGAGACGTTTACCACTTGGGTGAAACCCACGAGCACGGGTATGGTGCTGACAGTGTTTTGTCACACTTATTCTTGATGCATAGATCTAAATATGAAACAGATGAGTTGGTCTCACTGGTCTCCTTTATTTCTAGTTCAGGTGGGTATAACCAGTGGATTTGTTTGTTTGTTTGTTGTTTTACGCCGCACTCAGCAATATTCCAGCTATATGACGGCGGTCTGCATATAATCGAGTCACGACCAGCCAAATTCAGTGATTGACATCATGAGCATCGATCTACGCCTTTGGGATACGATGACATGCATCAACCAAGTCAGCGAGCCTGACCACCCGATCCCGTTAGTTGCCTAACACTATCAGAGTTGCTGATGCCGGGATGTTTACCTGGAACTGGACCCGTGAAGATCCGGGGTAGAATAGGTCTTCAGCAACCCATGCTTGCCGTCAAAGGCGACTATGTTTGTCGTAAAAGGCGACTAACGGGATCGGGTGGTCAGGCTAGCTGGCTTGGTTGATGCATGTCATTGATCCCAATTGCGTGGATCGATGTTCATGATATTAATCACTGGATTGTCTGGTCCAGACTCGATTATTTACAGACCGCCGTCATATAGCTGGACTATTGCTGAGTGCGGCGTTAAACAACAAACGAATGAATTACCTGGAACTGACGGCGCAAGGCACATGACGGCGTAAATGCTCAATGAGAAATGCAGACCTAAAAATACATATACATATGATTTATCGGTATTGCAACTATATACACACTCACCTCCTTGCTGTCCCATTTTGTAAATGCTAAATCGTATATAAATATGAATCAAATTGATTATATGGTAATCACGTGCCTGACGAATTGCCTTTTCCAAAACCAATAGACATCAACACCCAGTGAAAACCCAAGAACAATTCCGGGACTCCAAATCCAATTTCACAATCTTTTTTCTAATCATATTGTGGTACACATTTATATTCGTTATACAACAATTCGTGATCTGAGAAGGACTATTTTCCATGTTTTATTCGGTATTTCCACATGACATCGGTTTCGAAGTGAGCATATACAAGATATACATTACTGCCAATTAGTATAACATATGTTACAGTTACTTTTAAATTAATAGTAGCTAACTAAACAGGTTTCGGTAAGAGTTATATCTGAGGGATACCACAGGTTTATTATTGAATTATTGTTAAAATTTGATGGTGCGAACGTTTATGATGAAACGGTCTTAACAAAACATTAATTTATAATTAACCTCCACTGAATCATGCATTGGAGTTCCACTCAGCGTCGAGATCGTGTTCGAACACCTGTTGCACTTCGAAATAACTGCGTATAAATAATATTAACCATATGTTACCTTACGTTTTGTCGTCACGGTGTCAATCTAAGTGTTCAGGTGCATTTGCAACACGTCGAGGAGTGGTCTTACTCAGAAAGATAGTATGGCAATGGATGTGTCCTTGGTCTGTGCAGTTGTCCTAACCCTGATCACTCAGATACTCTCATGTGAGCGGCTTCAAGGATCCCATTATTATTTTGGGATTCCAGGGACCCCAGTGGTCAAACACCTATCCAGTTATGCCACACGTGGTTTGAACATCGTCAAGGATGATCAGAAATGTACTATCCATCGTAAGTAGATTAGTTTAAACAATATTACATTGCTCCGTATGTTTATTTCGAAAGTGCAAGTATTTTTTCGCCATGCATCTTGTTTTCTTCTGTGAAACAGGTACATCGGAATCTTTCCATTGGTCGTTAACATTCAAGGCATCAGTATTGCTTTCAAAAGATTGTATGGTAGACATAAGGAGTGAGTGAGTATGGTTTTAACCAGCAATATCACGGCGGGGGACACACATTGTACCCATGCCGTGTATCGAACCCGGGTCTTCGGCGTGACGAGCGAACGCTTTAACCACTAGGCTACCCGACCGCCCCGGAAGACATAAGGAGGATATTTCCGATGCAATAATATCCGTGTTTATTTAGGTGAACAATTGACTTGCCTTTGCATGTGTTTGGGAAGGGTGCCAGCGGTGGTGCAGGATACGCTCATCTTTTTGCGAACACCTAGTATCATCATTTGATAGTCATTCTTAAACACGGGATTATGATATAGTCGGAAGCGTACAATGCTTTTAGTAGAAGTTTCGTATGCTTATGGACCCGTAAAGATTCTGGGTAGAATAGGTCTTCAGCAACCAACGCTTGCCGTAAAAGGCGACTAACGGGATCGGGTGGTCAGACTCGCTGACTTGGTTGATACGTGTCATCGTCTGTCCTGTTCCTGAAGACCTATTCTGATCCTGATCGCCGACATCTTCAGTGAGCCACCACCATCTCACAAGGTTGTTGTTTGAGAGTGCTTTTAAGCATACGACCTTTTCTCTAAACAAATGTGTTTGGACCCAAACACATTATTGTTCAGGTCTTCTCGTTGTTTTAGTAAAAGTTATATCCAAGTAAGTTTTTCCAGTTCAGTTATGTTTAAAGGAGACATATCTACCGCCATTCCACCCAAACGCTAGTTCATTTATGAACTGTGGGAGGATAGTTGTCTTGGAGCCAACTTTGAACGAAAAACACTAAAATTGACATTGAAACATTCACTTTATCCAAATTGTATCACAAATCATCAGAAATATTTTTAAACTATATTCGAAGACAATACCACAATACTGAATTGATGGCCCTATGTAATGTAGGCCTAGCATTTTTCGAATTACATTGTGTGAGTGGAATTTTACCAATGTGCGTCATATTTCATAAAATAAAATGAAAGATATACAGTATTTAATTATTTTTGTGCCATGTTTAAAATGTCAATAGGTTTAAAATTCAATAGGTTGTCCGGTTCATTTCATATAATTCAATAATGACAACACGTTAACCGCTATGTTTATGTATACCAGATGAACTTGTTGGATCGATAGACAACAATGTTCTGTCAAACAATTAATTCTCATATAAAACGTGTAAATATATATAATTGTAGCATGGTATTGACACATATTTGTTCCAAATGATTCAAACAAACTTCTCTTAGCATCCTGCATATCTGATGAACGATGTTGATGGGGATGGGGGAGTATAACCTGAGGACAAAGAATATGAAATGGCCTTAAACAAAAAACGTTTCTATGGGTTTTTTGGACGTTAGAGGCTCATTACTGGTGCTACGTCTATCTTAAATCTATGGTAAATAATAAAAGTGACAAAACCCTTTCCATATTCGATAGAAACTAGATTCGATTGTACGATTCCGACTACAGCATGAACATGTGTTTATGAATCACTACCAAATAGTGATGATACCAGGTCTTCCCGAAAAAATGAGTGTCCCACCGTAGACACCCGTCACAAACACATGCAAAGGCAAGTCAATTGTTCACCTAAACAGTGAGTGAGTGAGTTTAGTTTCACGCCGCTTTAAGCAATATTCCAGTAATATCGGCGGGGGAAACAACAAAAGGGCTTCACACATTGTACCCATGTCGGGAATCGAACCCTGGTGTTCAGCGTAACGAGCGAACGCTGTAACCACTAGGCTGCCCGACCGCCCCTGGCTATTACCAGTTATGTCCCTTCTAAGCCTCTCCCCTATGGACCAATCAGATTCCACCTCTCGTATCACTTGCGTTTGCTTCACACAAAATGGCGGCTCCCAGTCAGGACGATCTGATCGATAATCAAGATCTATATTGTGATAAAACGGGTCTCACATCGTGAAATGCATCAAATCACGTGAGCACCTTGATTAAAGACATGAAAAGATTTGGAAAATATCTGCTGACAACGAGTTGGCGGTGCACATGCTTTGCGAATCCTGCAATCGACCGAAATCTGCACGACAGTTTACGAACCGGCTTTTTATTTCGGTGCGCGATTTTGATTGGACTATGCATAGACTCGTTAGTCCAGCCAAAATGTAACCCCATAAAACCAGCCTAGTTCGGCAAGGGTGGAAACTGGACTTTTATAGTCAGTTAACTCTCTTGTCTTGGGAAGATGATCACTGAAATACTGACAAAGGCGGTCTGAACCTCTGCTGATTCAACCTTTGTTTAGTGTTAAAGCAGAAACTATATGGAATTACAACATTCTCAACCTTAAAAGTTACAACCTGGTTTTTTCAGCTTTATCGATATTTTGACGAAAGCCCTCCGGCAGACCTGCCCGGATGTGGAACATTTATATGATGGATAATCTTGAGAATCAACAGATTCGAGTGACTTCTCTGACTTTTTCGTTTGTTCTTTTTGCTTGTTCTTTAACGCCACACTCGGCAATATTCCAGCTATATGACGGCGGTCTGAAAAATAATCGGGTCTGGACAAGACAATCCCAGTCGTCTAAGGCGCCGCGATTCGCTGTGCAGAGTTGCGTCCCTTGGGCACGCCGGAAACCTATGAAAGTGGGTTCGAATCCCGGTTCGCCCCGATTATGTTTCTAGGTTTGTCAGCATCATACCCGTGCTCGTGGGTTTCACCGAAGTGGTAAACGTCTTAGACCGGCATCACTTCGGGCTTTCCTCCCACATTAAGCTGACACGCCGCGATATAACTGGAATATTGTTAAAAGCTCACTCACTCATTCACTATTTCAGCCGTTCAGCAATCTGGCGCCCGTGCACCACGTCTGGAACACACCAGTGAAACAGCAATCGGTTTTGGACCGTATCAAGAATGTCTGAAGTCAGATATCGGAAGACAACCTGATATGTACAAGCGGAATCGACATCCTTACGGGAAATTACTGGTCTCGTCTACAGGCAACAATTTATTCAAACAGGTCTTTATAGAACAGTGCAGTAATCATATACTCACCGACAAAAGAAACACGAATACCATATATGTTAGTTAATTTATGAAGAATTACTCATATTCAAGAGATGTTAGATTTGTTTATACTCAAACAGGCATACTAGTACGTTGTTTGAACCGACGCTCATGAACGCATCACATGTGACGTCATAGATCCATGACTCGAGATGGACCATTTGTCTGGTGCGGGATTAGCATGTAAAGTTTGGAAATTACGTGCAGCATATCGTGATAAGAATTAAGACACTCTGTGGTAACGCTTGAGTGATTGTTAGTTTTGTCATTAATTGGTACACATTGGAAACATCTCTTCTTAACGTACATACTAAAGATGAATTTCGTGGTTTATTCTGACAGCCTGAAATGTTTATGTACGACAGATATATTTTTCCCGAATTTAATTGCCCATAATTAAGTGTGCATATAACGAATGCTTATTATACGCGAATAGATAAGTCTTGTGTACATTAATCAATCGGAAGGGGTGTTGGGATTGTTCACTAGCCATTATATTAGCAAATAACGCCGTGAGGTTTATTAGAGCGGGGCGCTTATTACGTCGAATACGGCAATTATACTTTGCATTTATGTCTCAGAAATGACTGTTGATAAGACGGCCTCACTGAACATAATAAACATCCGGTAGTATTACCATTGCTTGGGTGAGGACTCCCACTTTGATGACATCTACTCCGCAAACAGAATAAGCATTGATATAAGCGTTGTTTTTAGGAAAACACTATTGCCTTTTAGGAAGTACGTACTACTCAGCGCTATTGAGCGGTGTTATTTGCTATTTGTTTCGATAACTTGGCCCGGAGGCGGGGTAACCAATAGCTAAATAGGGCCATAAATCAATCAAATTCTTTTTTACCCAGAAATACGTGGATTGTTATAAAAGCACATATGTCTGTACTGTTAAATTATATTTAAGTAGGTAGTGAGAAAATTTCAACATTCTCCGTCCATATGTATAATTTGAAATGCGACCTGGAAAAATCTCAGCTCCGACCCCCCCCCCCCCCCCCCCCCCCCCCATGTATGCTGCAAAAGGCGACTATGCTTGTCGTAAGAGGCGACTAACGGGATCAGGTCGTCGGACTCGCTGACTTGGTTGATGCGTGACATCGTATCCCAATTGCGTAGGTCGATGCTCATGATGTCAATCACTGGATTGTCTCGACCAGACTCGATTATTTACAGACCGCCGTCATATAGCTTGAATATTGCTGTGCTGAGTGCGGCATTAAACAACAAACAAACAAACAAACAAACAAACAAAACCTGATGGTTCTGAGCCCAGTGGGAATTCTGGGTGAATAGTTCCGCAGCAATCGATTTTCGATGATGCTGAGTGGCGCGTTAAACAAAGAACATACTGTTGGTTCATGATTGTTGTTTTTTAATTTTAGATACACCGGTTGAACTCAGATCTGGGTTGGTATTTCCGGGACAGATCACTTCGCAACAAAGGTAACTATTGTGATATCTCCTCAGGTTATTTGAGGATGGGTATCGTTTCAGGAAAAACTTCATGTATGTACAGTTAACTACGTTTATAACGAACACGCTTATAACGAACTGGCGGATATAACGAACTTAGTTTTTGGGCCCGGCCATTTACTGTATACGTTGCTGTATATATGCTTACAACGAACTGCGGTTATAACTAAAATTAGTGGCCCCTTTGACTTCGTTATAACCGTAGTTTACTGGATAATAATCATGTAACGACAGTGGATATTTGTATGACAAACTTGTATAAACAGTAACATCTGACAACTACACATTTCTTAAATGTAGAGATACAAATGTAAACATTGATAATTCTACGATGAATTACGAGTGACATTTGTCGAGTGGTAAATCTGAGGTTTCAAATCACAAAACAACTGCCTCATATCGTAATAGGCTGACGGCCGCATCATTGCGAAACAAACAGTGAAAGAAAGATGATATGTACAATTGTATGATACAAAATGCAGAGGTGCCTGTTCAAACTATTCAATGTATGTTTGGCACAAAATAAATATTTGGCATAACCCACGTTAGACATCGACTAAGAGCATGAAGCGTGTGCATTTCAAGTTCTAGCAACAAAAGCGCTTTGGTGCTATTTTGTCGCCGACTGTGACGTCATGTGTCTTACGTCAACGTAATCATTCGTGACCAACTCGTGTTATTCCGGGACAAGCCGAATAGCGACTCGTGCCCCTCTCATGGCCATTTTTGCGACCGGGTGCCGTCTTAGCGCAAACGGGCATACCTAAAACAATTGTCACCTCGTTGCGTAATGGTTCACATATATTTCCCTATATTTTATATATATTTCAGATGCAATTTAAAGCACATCGGGACATGCGGAATTTTACAGTATGATTGACCACATTTTAACTGTGTCTTGGGTATATTTGTAGATGTAAGACGTATGTTAAATTAAAATTGTTTCTGAGGGATTCTTTGACGAAAAACTTGAAATCATACGCGCATTCTGATTGGTTTGTCGTATTTTCGCACATAACATTCATCGAAAGGGGGACGAGTCTTCTTGCAGGTTACGGAAAGGGGCGAGTGGTGACGAATGCAACGTTATGTGACGTCTTAGTAATCACGTGCGGAGTAGAACGAAACTTGCAAGGCTTGCTTATTTTTCTTTATGGATCCCAACTTGATCCCAACTCAGGGACCAGGTCAATGTAGAGTAAACAGACTTGACTCCTGAAAGTATTATAAAGATAACTCCGAACAGCGTATGCCTGGCGAATCCTATTATGTTCCAGTTTACATTTTCAGTGGTGTTCAGAGCTTGTGGACAGATTAGCTGCTTTTTGTCCGAACTTGCTCTGACAGTGATGACGACCTCATGGTAAAAGTAGGATTGTTGAAATAGGATCGGGGTCCTTGCCTACTTTTGTCACCACATAAAACAGAGAAACATTTCACCCCACACACCTCCCTGACCCAAACTGAATTGAGATTTTTATCCGACTTTAACTTTTGAACTTTTACTTTCAGTACCTGTCAATTATGCGAAATAAGTACAATGATGTGAGTGAGTGAGTGATTATGGTTTTACGCCGCTTTTAGCAATATTCAAGCAATATCACGGCGGGTGACACCAGAAATGGGCTTCACACGTTGTACCCATGTCGGGAATCGAACCCGGGTCTTCGGCGTGACTAGCGAACGCTTTAACCACTAGGCTACCCGACCGCCCCTACAATGATCTGAAAAACAATCTTAGAACATATACGACGCCACACAATGTCTGAAGGTTATTATCAATGTTTCCTTAATTCAGATCGAAAACACATCCAAAACATTGGACTCAACCAATGGCGCTTCGCTCCCCAAGGAGTTCACGTTTGATTTTGTCACGGTAGAATGGATAAATAGGTTACTTGTAAACTTAACCAGTCCACATGAAACAGTTGAAATCCACGTTGAGCGTTCAGTTCAATTAATGTTCATCTCCTAAATAAATTAAAGTGTTATTTCCGGTTGTATTTGATTTCAGCTGTTCGACATGACGATGCGGCCATGGAAAGACTTCGTCACAGAAACTCTCGCATACATCTACAAACAAAACTTGTCATGTAAGTTGGATTTATTTGATGATTTGCCCCCGAAACTATGCTGTTATTATCAGAAGCAGACAATAAGATCATTCTGGCGACTGATTGAAAACATTTAGGTTGGTACCATGAACAGTACGAACAAAACAAATGTTTGCTGGCGAGAGGTGGGCGAGAGAGCAACCTCCTCTCTGACAAGACGTACAAATATCGACGTCTGCGTTGATCAGACAATATATATCCGGCACCCTCTGAATACATCATGATCATGTCCTCTGATATATACATGTATATATACTGCTGTTACTCACCGCCGCCATGATATTAACCACGACAAAGCTCCGGCATTGCGATCAGTCTGATACCCAGTGTGACTATTTTCTTGCTCCTATCATCACGTTGTCCTTACGGCTGAGACCGCCTCCGTGGTCTAGTGGTAGAGCGTCCGCCCGGAGAGCGGAATGTCCGGGGTTCGATCCCCGACCGCGTCATACCAAAAGACGTTTAAAGATGGTACTTGTTGTTACCCTGTCTGTCGCTCGGCATTAAGGGGCTAAAACAAGGACCGGTCGGCCCGGAATCAGTATACTGTGTCTGAGTGGTGTATTCATGTTAAACTGCGGCATGGTATCTCAGTGAGCTAGCACTATAAATCGGCATCAGTCCGGACTAGTACAAGCAGCCACACAAACACACGTACATGCACGTCGCTATAAAGTGCAATAATCTTGGACACGACGTTAAACCCCATTTCACCCCACCCCACCTCACCTCACCTGATTGCAAGCACTGTCTGTCTTTGCTGCTTTTCAGAACCCTCCTGCTGGTCCTTGTCACGATGTTGGTCACGGGAACGAGTATTGACTTACTGATCTGTACCAAACTGCCACAGTCAATTAATCTCAGAACCTATTTAAAACGCGGTGAGTTGTCTGTATTATCTTAATGAGGACTCATCTTTGGTTCTTTCTACATGCTATATTCATAGCAAATGGTTCCATAAGCTTGTATTCTGAAAGTGGATAAAGCGTTAGTTGACCACTACTAAACAATGCAAAGAAATATGAGTGATTATGTTCCATTGAGGACAACTAATATTAATATACTAAATTATACTAAATATACGTTAAAAGGTAAACAACCAACAAAACTGAAAACATTTCGTTATAGTCTGGACACCTAATGGACTCTACTTTGACGGTTTTGTCGCTGATATTTAAGAAAATGTTTTATTGTACGATAAACAACTCCCTCTCCTCGTTCATGTCTTAAATGAGATATCAACATAATGTTTAAGGATGTTAATAAAATGTACAAGCTTTAATAAAACTATTTACCCGTATTTGAATAATGATGACTCCCTGGATACAATCCTGACTCGGCAATGTCGGACAAGTCCATTTTATGAACAGGAGGGTTGATATTGGTGTTGGATATTCTCACATCTTTGACGTTGATTATCTGTACCTTTTCTGTCAATACTAATTGTCGTATCTCACCCACATTTGAATGCGACCATTCGGCCATTGAGTATGCCCAGCTACATCTTAGGGGAACAACTTCCCTCTCAAAAACAACGTCGTCCAATGTAGTGTACAAGTTGCGAGCATATTTTGGAATCTCCCGCAATGACGTCATGATAGAACTATGTTTTAACGTGAAATAAACCACGCTTCGTTCAAAGTTGTTCTTTGCGATTTATCTTGTACCCGTCTTATATTTACTGATAATATGTACTGATTGGTTTCTATCTGTGCGCTGCGGATACCAAGAGAGAACTGACAACCCACGAACAGCCATTGTTCAATTTGAGCACGGAAACCATATAATGTGCTAAGGGTTTCTCAAATGCTTCAAATCGTACTGGATTTCGTACGGAACAAAACGTTTGTTTCTCAATGTATTTGTTTATGTCATGCAATCCTCAAAAACAAGGAGGCACGGGTGGCCCAGTCGTCTTAGGCGTCGCGATTTGCTGTGCAGAGTTGCGTTCCTAGGGCACACCAGAAACCCCATGGTTGTGGGTTCGAATCCCGGTTCGCCCCGATTATGTTTCTAGGTTTGTCAGCACCATACCCGTGCTCGTGGGTTTCACTGAAGTGGTAAACGTCTGAGACATGCATCACTTCGGGCTTTCCTCCCACATTAAGCTGACACGCCGTGATATAACTGGAATACTGTTAAAAGCGGCGTTAAACCCAACTCACTCACTCCCAAAAACCAGCGCCCTATCTCAACAATAAGGGAGTTGATTATCATGAAGTTTCGGTTCGTCGAGTCATGATTCCTGAAGCAAAGTAAGTGCAAACATTTGTAAGAATCTGCTTCACACATGGATCCCCGAGTCATTACTCGTATGCCATGAACCGAAACAAAATTACAGTTTCCAGTTGCATTTTACCATTCAGATAAGCGTTCATGTCATTGTAATGTATTGTTTAAAGCTACTCCTTGTCCATTTCTAGTGACTTGGTGTAGAGTCCTGCGATGTTTCTCCGTGTACACTAACACCCTGAAGCTGTTCGATGTGACGGTGTCCTCTGAAAGACTGGGATGCCTAAATGGTATCAAGACACTCTCCTTCTTCTGGATTCTCTTCAGCCGCCTGCATGCGTCAACTCTAGGTACGTTCCAAAAGATATTTCTACGATAAAATTGGTTTGGATTAAAGTGTGTTTGTTGTTTGTCGATGCACACAGCAATGTTGAGACTGTACATCAATTATTTCCAATCTCAAATATTTCAATTAGTTCAATTATTATCTGCTAGCTATTGTATAACTATTTCCTGCTACAATTTCGGTTAAACCGCATTATCAGTGGTTCATATTTCGAAATTTGTCGTAAGGCACGTTGTCGTTGGTCAAAGAATTAATTCGCCCTCTAATTCTAAGGGGGCGGCCGGGTAGCCTAGTGGCTAAAGCGTTCGCTCGTCACGCTGAAGACCCGGGTTCGATTCCCTCCGTGTTCAAAATGTGTGAAGCCCATTTCTGGTGTACCCCGACGTGATATTGCTAGAATATTGGCGTAAAACCATACTCACTCACTCACTCTAATCCTAAGATAAACAGAAGTCTTAATCAAATGTTTGAATACTTTATTTTCATTTTTACATCCGTAACTTGCAGCAAATTAAAACGCTTTTTTACAATGAAATAAAGAACTCGCGAATATATCGTTTTCTCCAAAGTATTTTTTGAAAAGAGATGCAGGTGAACTCACCACACTTTAGAAGGTCAAAAGTCGTGGTATATAGGGCGTGATGCACATCCTCTCGGGATGGTTTAGTTCTGATAGTTTTTTTAAAATATGGCCCCAGTATTCCCGGCCATACATGGTGATCGAAACATGGGGGTCCCAGCTTCATCAACTGACTTAGTGCTGATAATCTATTACTAAATGTGCACGTGAAACAGATGCAGTGTCTCGATCCCCCTTATTCTTTCTTGTGCCCGTGGGTTTCACCAAAGTGGTAAACGACTCTGACTAAACTCAGTATTTCTCCTCACCTCAAGTTGACATTTACCGATATGAGGTGGCATTAAGCAAAACCAGGGGTCCGTTGCAAAGCGCCAATCGCTTGGAAGCTGTGGCATTTTAAACTTCTGCATTGATATTGTGATATTGCTATGCCTAGAATCAGAGACCATATACCGAGGGACAGGCCTATATGATCTCTGCTGGAATGCTTGAAAACTTGACACTGTTTTTTTCTTTTCTGTCTAAATGCATTCAAAGACTTGAATGTGTACTTTGATGTAGTTTTGATAAAATTAAAATTGCACAGCACTGTCAACATTGCGGGGATTTTCTCATCTATGTATATTATGTCCATCTAAACTATCAACAGTCTAGCGTGGATATTGTCAACTGTCGACATTGCCATTCATGTATGGCAATAAAGCCATGGAAAAATTCAAGCTTGAAAGAATGTCACATCCTTCGAATCCTTCGGTTGGTTTGTTGTTTTACGCCGCATATTCCAGCTATATGACGGCGGTCTGTAAATAATCGAGTCTGGGTGAGACAATCCAGTGATTGATATCATGAGCATCGATTCACGCAATTGGGATCGATGACATGCTTCAACCAAGTCAGCGAGCCTGACCACCCGATCCCGTTAGTCGCCCCTTACGACAGCCATTGGGAATTGCATGTAATGCCAGTGTGAGATTTGTATGTAGGTCTTCAAACAATGGGTGCCGTGAGGTGTCTTCGCTTGACTATCATACAATGACTGTTTAAGTAGCTTCAATAGAAATAGTAGAAGGCATACTTTTAATAAACTCATTGTGAAAGGTAGTTGAAAAAATCACAGAAACAGTCCCTTCTCTGGCTCTAGAATGCCTCAGAAATGCCCTGCGACAGACCGTTCTACTACAATTTCAAAGCAGATTAGAGTAACCTCCACTTTGATGACAACCCTTCTAGGTTTATGACATCAGTTCTGGTTGGGACAACACATGCCCAATACATTACAGTCAACTACGGTTAAAACGAACTCAAAGGGACCACTAATTTTAATTCGTTATAACCGTGGTTCGTTATAAGCATTTTTACAACATATACACACAAAATGGACGGGACCAAGAAACAGTTCGGTATATCCGGAAGTTCGTTATAAGCGTGTCTGTTATAAACGTAGTTTACTGTACAATTAAACCAACAAAGTCCTTTAAATCTAACTACATATACCATAATAAAAAAGGTTTACACGCAATATGCAATGTGACATTTTTGAAGAGAAACGTCCCTCCCTTCACATACCCTAACAAGAAAATTATATGCACTTATGGTCTTATGGCATCACTTCCTGGTTGAGAAACACGTCTAATGCAAAACAAATTTAAACAGAAACTCATATTAATTCACGGGCTTCCAAACACATCAATTTATTTATGTATTCCAAAGGTGGGATTCTATGTGATATCTAAAGTTGTTAGGATTTTTTGTTATTTAACGCCACGCTCAGCAATATCCCAGTTATATGACGGCGGTTTGTAAACAATCGAGTCTCGGCCGGACAATCTAGTGATTGACATCATAAGCACCAATCTACGCAATTAGGAGACGATGACATGCATCAACCAAGTCAGTGAACCTGATCACCCGATCCCGTTCGTCGCCATTAACCAGGATATTTCGGGTGTAACCTCCTAATGTAGCAAAGCAAAGCTCCACATTGAGAGTAGATCACAGTAACCTAAATGCTGATATCCTAACATTGCCTTCACTTTTCATGTGAAAGTATTCAAATAGTATAACCATTTCATGCATGCAACTTGGCCTTGACATTATTTGTAGATCACTCACGACCTTTCTTGATATTGACCCTGCCCTAAGGATGACATTTTCCAAGTTTGATCTTAGTAATTCCTTCTCGAGTTAGGCGAGTAAGGCGGTAATACTTGTTTTAGACTATGACCTTGAGATGACATATCTATGTGTCAAAAACATTTCCCAAGATTATATACAAGATATGTGATAAATGTCTAAGTACCGAGTTTTATGTTGACGCGTTATTAACTTCCATCAGAATCTGATGCTGAATACATGTATCACTGTTGCAGATGTTGGATATGAGTTTCACTGTTGCAGATGCTGGATATGTGTATCACTGTTGCAGATGTTAGATACGTGTATCATTGTTGCAGATGTTGGATATGTGTATCATTGTTGCAGATGTTGGATATGTGTATCACTGTTGTAGTTGTTGGATATGTGTATCATTGTTGCAGATGTTTGATATGTGTATCACTGTTGCAGATGTTGGATATGTGTATCAGTGTTGCAGATGTTGGACATGTGTATCATTGTTGCAGTTGTTGGATATTTGTATCACTGTTGCAGATGTTGGATACGTGTATCATTGTTGCATTTGTTGGATATGTGTATCACTGTTGCAGATGTTTGATATTTGTATCAGTGTTGCAGATGTTAGATACGTGTATCACTGTTGCAGATGTTGGATATGTGTATCACTGTTGCAAATGTTGGATATGTGTATCACTGTTGCAAATGTTGGACATGTGTATCACTGTTGCAGATGTTGGATATGTGTATCACTGTTGCAAATGTTGGACATGTGTATCACTGTTGCAGATGTTGGATACGTGTATCATTGTTGCAGATGTTGGACATGTGTATCACTGTTGCAGATGTTGGATATGTGTTTCATTGTTGCAGATGTTGGATACGTGTTTCATTGTTGCATTTGTTGGATATGTGTATCACTGTTGCAGATGTTAGATATGTGTATCACTGTTGCAGATGTTGGATATGTGTATCACTGTTGCAGATGTTGGATATGTGTATCACTGTTGCAGATGTTGGACATGTGTATCACTGTTGCAGATGTTGGATGCGTGTATCATTGTTGCAGATGTTGGATATGTGTATCACTGTTGCAGATGTTGGATATGTGTATCACTGTTGCAGATGTTGGATATGTGTATCACTGTTGCAGATGTTGGACATGTGTATCACTGTTGCAGATGTTGGATGCGTGTATCATTGTTGCAGATGTTGGATATGTGTATCACTGTTGCAGATGTTGGATATGTGTTTCATTGTTGCAGATGTTGGATACGTGTTTCATTGTTGCATTTGTTGGATATGTGTATCACTGTTGTAGTTGTTGGATATGTGTATCACTGTTGCAGATGTTTGATATGTGTATAACTGTTGCAGATGTTGGACATGTGTATCATTGTTGCAGATGTTGGATACGTGTTTCATTGTTGCAGATGTTGGATACGTGTTTCATTGTTGCATTTGTTGGATATGTGTATCACTGTTGTAGTTGTTGGATTTGTGTATCACTGTTGTAGTTGTTGGATATGTGTATCACTGTTGTAGATGTTGGATATGTGTATCACTGTTGTAGTTGTTGGATATGTGTATCACTGTTGCAGATGTTGGATATGTGTATCACTGTTGCAGATGTTGGATATGTGTATCACTGTTGTAGATGTTGGATATGTGTATCACTGTTGCAGATTTTAGATACGTGTATCATTGTTGCAGATGTTGGATATGTGAATCATTGTTGCAGATGTTGGATATGTGTATCACTGTTGCAGATGTTGGATATGTGAATCATTGTTGCAGATGTTGGATATGTTAATCATTGCTGCAGATGTTGGATATGTGTATCACTGTTGCAGATGTTGGATATGTGTATCACTGTTGCAGATGTTAGATACGTGTATCATTGTTGCAGATGTTAGATACGTGTATCACTGTTGCAGATGTTAGATACGTGTATCATTGTTGCAGATGTTGGATATGTGTATCATTGTTGCAGATGTTGGACATGTGTATCACTGTTGCAGATGTTGGATATGTGTTTCATTGTTGCAGATGTTGGATACGTGTATCATTGTTGCATTTGTTGGATATGTGTATCATTGTTGCATTTGTTGGATATGTGTATCACTGTTGTAGTTGTTGGATATGTGTATCATTGTTGTAGATGTTGGATACGTGTATCACTGTTGCAGATGTTGGATATGTTTGTCACTGTTGAAGATGTTGGATACGTGTATCATTGTTGCAGATGTTGGATAGGTGTATCAAGGTTGCAGAAGTTGGATATGAGTGTATCACTGTTGCAGATGCTAGATATGTGTATCATTGTTGCAGATGCTGGATATGTGTATCATTGTTGAATGCATGTATCTTGTTGCAGATAAAGTCGTGACGAAAGGGTTCGATGTAGCTCTACCGTTGACATGGAGAATATTGAGGCCATATGTAAGGGGTTATCTGACGGAATCAGCATATGTTATGAGGTAATCTTTGGTTAGTTATTTGAAACATTTCATGAAAATACTATGGTTGTAGAAGTAACTTAAATGACTACCCTTTGAGACTTTGCTGTAGCTGACAAAAGTTCAAGCTTCACAAATACAGGAAAATGAAAATATTGAATATTGACAGAACTTACTAAAAAATTGTATCCAGAGTATAACAGTATATGTAGGCATGAGCTGTATACTAGTTGATATTTTTTTATATTTTAAGTGGTTTACAGACAACTCTGACCAGTCTGGAACAAAAGCAGAAAGGGAAAATAGACTGGAAGAAGCTGTATTTACAAAGATATTTACGGTAAGCAATTAGCACTGTTGTTGCAGGCGTCAATACAAAATATTACACATATAATTACAAAAGTACATTGTTTGGGAGGAGGAGTCATTACATTTTTGTTTAAGGGCGCTTTGAACTGTATTTCAGCTACATCAAAGCGTTCGCAGTTGGTCGATAGTCCCATGACCCGTGAAGATCCGGGGTAGAATAGATTTTCAGCAACCCATGCTTGCCGTAAAAGGCGCCTATGCAAGTAGCAAATGGCGACTAACGGGATCGGGTGGTCAGTCTCGCTGACTTGGTTGATGCATGTCATCGTATCCCAATTGCGTGGATCGATGTTCATGATATCAATTACTGGATTGTCTGGTCCTAGATTGTACAAACCGCCGTCATATAGCTGGAATATTGCTGAGTGCGGCGTTAAACAACAAACAAACGATAGTCCCAAAGCTAAAAGCGGCGCTAAACACTACACATGTGCCCTTTGTTTCTTGTTTTCAGAGCGACACCACCGGCCATCCTTGTCCTGGTGTTACTGACCACGTTCCTACCTTATTTTCTTAATGGATCTCAAGGCGTGAACATGCAACGCTGTTTACCATGGTGGAGTTTCGTCACACCAATTAAATTACATCATCCTCCGGTAAGACTCTGTTATGACGAATCGTCCTGGATTCGAACGCAGAACAACTTTCAAGAATCCTTTCCTTAGAAACACTGACAGCAATGGGACTATTTGAATACAACATATAACTCGGCTTATTGTGTGTCATTGGTTGGTCTTTACTCGATTAGTTAGAGGTGAGGTGAGGTGAAATGTTGTTTAACGTCGCGTCCAAGATTATTGCACTTATATAGCGACGTGCATGTACGTGTGTGTGTTTGTGTGGCTGCTTGTACTAGTCCGGACTGATGCCGATTTATAGTGCTAGCTCACTGAGATACCATGCCGCAGTTTAACATGAATACCCCACTCAGACACAGTATACTGACTCCGAGCCGACCAGTCCTTGTTTCAGCCCTTTAGTGCCGAGCGCCAGACAGGGTTACAACAAGTACCATCTTTTAACGTCTTTTGGTATGACGCGGTCGGGGATCGAACCCCGGACCTTCCGCTCTCCGGGCGGACGCTCTACCACTAGACCACGGAGGCGGTCGATTAGTTAGAAGCTACCACAATATTACTAGATTATTATAATGATTTTCCTGTCTTTATTTCTTTTATGCTAGGGTTTAAATATTTGGTTGTTGTTTCACGTCACATTGGAGTGGCTTGAATTTATTTATCGCCGTACAATGCTTTTCGTATCTGTATATACGGGTAGAGACTTCAATATAATATCCTGTCTGTGAATCGTTACCATGTTAGTTACGGGTTAGAATAGGTCTTCAGCAACCCATGCTTGCCGTAAAAAGCGACTATGCTTGTCGTAAGAGGCGACTAAAGGGATCGGGTGGTCAGGCTCGCTGGCTTAGTTGATGCATATCATAGTATCCCAATTGCTGGATTGTCCGGCCCAGACTCGAATATATTTTCTCGAGTTCGGCATTAAACAACAAACAAACAAACAAACAAATCCTACACCGGAGGCTCAAACCAAACCATCAGGAGGTTCTTCTTCTCTAAAACAGAACAAAATCCGATGCAAATGGTAAATGATCTTCACATGTTTAAAGGCAAAAAGCAAAGGAAACAATGTTAAGAATAATTATCTCACACCGTTTGTCATCTAAGGGAATATAAGCTAAAACTTGGCATCATACCATGATGTTGCAACAACAGCATTGTCACCTTGTAGAGGATTATACAGTAAACTACGGTTAAAACGAACCCAAAGGGACCACTGATTTTAGTTCGATATAAATGTAGTTCGTTATAAGCATGTTTACCTGTATAAACAGCAAATGGTCGGGACCAAAAAATAAGTTCGTTATATCCGTCTGTTCCTTATAAGCGTGTTCGTTATATACTTTTGCCCGTGAAGATCCGGGGTAGAATAGGTATTCAGCAACCCATGCTTGCCGTAAAAGGCGACTATGCTTGTCGTAAAAGACGACTAACGGGATCGGGTGGTCAGGGTCGGTGACTTGGTTGAAACATGTCATCGGTCCCATGGATCGATGCTCATGTTGTCAATCACTGGATTGTCTGGTCCAGACTCGATTATTTACAGACCGCCGTCATATAGCTGTAATATTGCTGAGTGCGGCGTTAAACAACAAACCAAACCCAAACCAAAACGTTATATACGTAGTTTACTGTGTGTAAGATATTTATGTGTTTTTTTCTCTCTTCCTGTTCCAGCCTTCAGACTGTTTGCCTCAAGTGTTATCAAGAAGGACGGATTTGATATATGCTTTGGCATGTCCTCTCATCTTTCTACCTCTTATGTTGTGAGTATGGGTTTATAGATCATATGGCTTGTAATTTAAACTAACGTGTGTTAATTAGCAATAGTAACATACATTTACGCTACTGCCCAGAAGTTCATTCCCCTTACACGCTTTGAGAACACGGGCGACACGGGTGCTCAACGGGTTGCACACTGGTTGTATGGCTACTGCGGAGGCGTAGTGTAAATAACAAAAAAAGAAATGCCCACGTGACATATAATTTATACACAATGTTTTAATTAATTTCGACACAACAATAAGATAACTGATACGTCCATGAATCCTGCTTTGTTGCACGTTCATTGTTTTGTTTACATCTAACATTACATACTGTAACAGAGAAATAGAAGGTTTTGGAAATTATATTCCTTTAGACAAGTACTAAAATAACAACCGTTGTTTTTATGAAAACATTGGCTACTAATTTCTTCTCTCATTTTCCAATTTAATTCATTTCCATTTCAAACTGTTTGGATCAACGTAAACATGATCATAACGTAATGAAAACAAAAGTAAACATTTTGCATTCTCCTTTAATCCCATCCTCCGTGCTGGTAAAATGTAAAATATATACTTAGTGAGATCTGTATGTAATCCATGAAATAAAATAATGTTCATGTTTTAAAGTATCGATGGGTGTGGCTAATTGTCCTTTAATTAATAGGGAATTGTGGGGAAATGTCTGTGTGGAGAGATGTCCGACTTCATGATGCATTATGAATGACAAAGGCAATGAATTAAAAACAAATCGTTAGTTCATTTCATGGAGTAACAAATAGGCAGTAACATAATGAAATAATTAAGTCTTTGCGCGGGATCGTACCGGCATTTACGTCAAGTTGATATCGGGTTTTAGGCACATCTGTTTGGCTAAAATTGTTCGTTGGAAATAATAGACGGTTGTAACAATAGACTGGCGTTATAAGAATTATTTATGTCGGTATGTAGCAGTGTTGAAGCAGCTGGACTGAAATAGAGGTCTTGAATATGAACAGAAATCGACAAATATTTTTCTAAACACTATTCTGTACCATCGTTTATACGAAACACACTTTGTAGTAATGCTTTCTATTCTATCGCTGGAATTAATATAAATGTTTCCGTGTAAAGAGGTATTGAACTATTTTACCCGGTTAAACGATTTATCTTCAAACGCAACGCGCAGAACCAAATTATCCAGAAATATAGTTAATCATTAAGAAACCAGACACACCCACTTATGATGTTCAATCCGTATCCGTAGGTGTGTTGATTTAACATCAATACATTACAAATGAGAACCACTGATTGATGTATACCAGATAGACGCCATCATAGGAACACACACATTGTAGGCAGGGACAGAGGGTGTATACTACAAATGAGAACCACTGATTGCTGTGTACCAGATAGACGCCATCATCGGAACACACACATTGTAGCCAGGGACAGAGGGTGTACACAGCCCGTGTTTTGATGCGAGACGACAATTATTCCCTCCTTGTCATCCATAACCTCCTACCTGTGTATTTGTCGTCATTCACTTGATTCCCATTTAATGACTTTATTACAGGTATAATTAGTGGTAGAAGTACATGTACTCCGATCACCTGACAAAGACTGCCAAATTTCTCAATAACGTTCACCGCTGGCCATGAGGATGTCATGGTAATAAAGCACTCAATGGTTCGCATAGTGTCTGGGGTAATTATTTAATATACGATTGGGTAATATATCCAGATCTGATTTGGAGATACTTCATGTGGCAGTGCAGCAAGAGAGGAATGATCAATAGAGTTGCCAAAAAACATCGATTAAAGGATTGACCGATAATACGTTGATTGATTAATCACTGTTATTTTGCACAGTGGATTTGTCAAAAGTAAGTGTTTATATATGTAGGTTTACTAAAGCAGACGGGATACACCCATATCTGGGCGTGAAGTGCCGCTGTAAAAACAACATATTTTGTTCAAAGAATTAATTAGCCGATAACACGTTGATTTATCATATAATGGGTCGGTTTCTCGGCAGGATAAAGCCAACGGATAAAAACGATATCCGTTGGGGTCATATGCGGATAGAGATGCAAATATCAAAGGTCGAGTAGGGACAACTTTCAGTGTTTATAAACAAACATGGCCTCGCCCTTGTCATTCGGCGATCAAGTCAGAATTAACCATCGAGAATCTGGATAAACTACAGGGATAATTGCTATCATCAAAAGAACATTAAATATACTGAAAATCCGTGTCTAACTGTGACGTAGCTAAGGCATTTTATAAGTTTTGGCAACTTTGGAGATATAAATTTCGAAACAATTTTGCGAAGACACTAAGCCTAGCCAAGCGGGATGGTAGCCATATCTGTGCTTGTAGACCTCTGCGGCATGAAACCTTTTCCACAAATAAAAATAGTTGGATTAATATTTGACCGAAATATGTTTGAATTGTTACATTGTTCGTTTTGTCGTTGTGTGTACATCGGACTGCACTAGTCTTCTTAACGTTATGACAGGACAGGCCGACTGTCAACAATGTCTGAACGAGGCCGTGACGTCTCATAGACTAGGGTTAGAGTAGCTTCCCTTTGACAAAGGGCAGTTACTCTAGCGGACAGACCAATGGATTGCCGCGGAAGGCAAGTAAAAACAATCTATGTTTGAAGAATTCATAACTTGGAACGTTGTATCCCTTTCACATCACCGCTAAACAACATGTAGAAGCCAATGGTCGTACAAACAAGATGCATCTGATTGATCACAACAGTACTCATTTTTTCTCAAATTCACATCTAAAAAGGAGACATCAGCTGGTACATATCATAGTGTGTTTCAACATTTTCGTCAGGACCAACACAACTGGCTCTCCTTATTATATCCTCCATTTTCAGCTTAACATGGGTCCTCCTTTGGTCAAAAGTTTGTTACCTCCGAAATGCGTGTATCACGGGTTCCGCACGAGTAACCAAAGGGTTGCGCTCGCATTGCCAATGCATGTAAGGGGAATGAACTTCTAGACAGTAGTGTAGATTAGGCGCTAAATTGGAAAACGCCGTTTCTGATTCAGACATCGTATTTTCTATAAATGAATACATAGCATTAAACAAGACCTCAATGCTATATGACCTGTCCATGGTAAGTTATTGAATTTTCATTGTTGTATGAACATGTAGAACATATAACATTAATACACTTGTCAGAGTACTATTAGTGAGACTTATACAATACTCTCAAGTTATAAATCATATGTACGATTAGTGAAAAATTTGCGATACTTACAAGCAATGCATCATATGTACGATAAGTGAGAACTTTGCGATACTAACAAGCAATGCATCATATGTAGGATCAGTGAGAACTTTGCGATACTAACAAGCAATGCATCATATGTAGGATTAGTGAGAACTTTGCGATACTAACAAGCAATGCATCATATGTAGGATTAGTGAGAACTTTGCGATACTAACAAGCAATGCATCATATGTAGGATAAGCGAGAACTTTGCGATACAACAAGCAATGCATCATATGTAGGATTATTGAGAACTTTGCGATACTAACAAGCAATGCATCATATGTAGGATTAGTGAGAACTTTGCGATACTAACAAGCAATGCATCATATGTAGGATTAGTGAGAACTTTGCGATACTAACAAGCAATGCATCAAATGTAGGATTAGTGAGAACTTTGCGATACTAACAAGCAATGCATCATATGTAGGATTAGTTAGAACTTTGCGATACTAACAAGCAATGCATCATATGTAGGATTAGTGAGAACTTTGCGATACTAACAAGCAATGCATCATATGTAGGATTAGTGAGAACTTTGCGATACTAACAAGCAATGCATCATATGTAGGATAAGCGAGAACTTTGCGATACTAACAAGCAATGCATCATATATAGGATTAGTGAGAACTTTGCGATACTAACAAGCAATGCATCATATGTAGGATTAGTGAGAACTTTGCGATACTAACAAGCAATGCATCATATGTAGGATAAGCGAGAACTTTGCGATACTAACAAGCAATGCATCATATGTAGGATTAGTGAGAACTTTGCGATACTAACAAGCAATGCATCATATGTAGGATTAGTGAGAACTTTGCGATACTAACAAGCAATGCATCATATGTAGGATTAGTGAGAACTTTGCGATACTAACAAGCAATGCATCATATGTAGGATTAGTGAGAACTTTGCGATACTAACAAGCAATGCATCATATGTAGGATTAGTGAGAACTTTTCGATACTAACAAGCAATGCATCATATGTAGGATTAGTGAGAACTTTGCGATACTAACAAGCAATGCATCATATGTAGGATTAGTGAGAACTTTGCGATACTAACAAGCAATGCATCATATGTAGGATTAGTGAGAACTTTGCGATACTAACAAGCAATGCATCAAATGTAGGATTAGAGAGAACTTTGCAATACTAACAGCGATGCATCATATGTAGGATTAGTGAGAACTTTGCGATACTAACAAGCAATGCATCATATGTAGGATTAGTGAGAACTTTGCGATACTAACAGCAATGCATCATATGTAGGATTAGTGAGAACTTTGCGATACTTACAAGCAATGCGTCATATGTAGGATTAGTGAGAACTTTGCGATACTAACAAGCAATGCATCATGTGTAGGATTAGTGAGAACTTTGCGATACTAACAAGCAATGCATCATATGTAGGATTAGTGAGAACTTTGCGATACATGAGCATTATGAATCATATATGTTATTAGACTGCAATGTAAAACACATAGCTGGTTTTTCATTGTTGGTAATCATTTGCCAATACGTGATGCTTTTTCATGTTTGGGGATCATACTTGTTTATTCCAGATCACCAATCCCTGGGTTCATCTTGTCAATTGTTGCGAGTGTGTCATTCTACCTTGTGAGTGAAGTACGCTTTCGTCCAAACTCGCTACTGCATCGCCTGCTTGGTAAAAGGTAATTAACACGTAGTATGGCTCCTCCGACAAGTAGAGATGAGAGTGAATGTTTGCTTGTGTGAAGACTTATTTGAAGTTGTTAACATGTACGTTGTAAGTATAACAATAGAAAAAGTGCCCATTAGAAGAGACCATTATGAAAGCCAATGCTACATCTAATTCTAATTCAAAATGGGTACAATGTGTGGCCCCTTTCTGGTATCCCCGCAGTGATATTGCTGGAATGTTGCTAAAATTGTCGTAAAACCATACTCATGCATTAATTCTAAGCTAAAGCTACCGGTAGATCATGACATGAGTACCCTTTCCGCGAACACCTGGTGTCATCACTGATTTTCAGTGATCCATTCCTATAATGTTCCTCATGTGTTGCCCTTCGCGCCCAGTGGAATCTGTTTCGGCAGATAATCGAGACTAGTTATTTTCTGGCGTTGAAGCTTCATTAGTCCGGATACCTCGCCTTTCCGCACGATTACTGTGGGGAACGTGTCCTTGACCTGTCTGTCTGTCTGTTTGTCCGTCCGTCTGTCCGTCCACCAGACAAGTGATAAACTGTTGCATTTGGCTATTCAGGAGCGTTATAAAATATTATGCGTCTAAGACAATAAATAACAAGTTTTGATTTTGGTTCAAATTTTTATGGTTTCATTTTATGGACATATCTTATAAACCGTTGAAATATTTAGGTGATAGACTAACTCTGTTTTGACTGCCTTAAATTCTGCATACTATGACGACACGGGCGCTTTTAAAACTTTTTTGGAATGCGTAATTTCACATGGGTAAATAGGTCAGTTGTCTTAGAATATTCCATTATTGGGTGACAGGTAGTGACAACGTCACAAATATGATTACTCAAGTTCAAGACTACTTACTGTTACAGGAATCGTACAAATGGGTTTGTCGCTAATGTTTATATTACTGAGTTATCATAATTCTCCATAGATATACAGTTCATAAATAACCACCTGTGTGTGAATACAACATGGGAGACTACTCACTTTTGCGACAGTGGTTACAGTATGTTTTACTTAATAGTGCGTGTTCTGGAATGGATTTCTTCAGCAGTGTATCAGCGAGTGACAACAACATCTGAAAATGTTCCGATATCGAACGTATACAGACAGGTCTAATTGGTTATCGACAACTATTTTTATGTGCATCAATGTGCAGACTATTCACATGCAGGTTATTGTGCGAAAATGGAATCACATGCCTGATAATGTCATTTGATGATAGAATTATGGAAACAATGTACGCACAACAAATGTTCAGGTACGAAATTTCAAAGCAACCTATGCTTGTTTTAAGAAGTGACTAAATGGATCGAGTGGTGGATTGTGTGACATCCTACCCTGATAGAGTGAGACATAATGAAGTGTGTATTATAAATCAAGCAAACAAAGACCCATAACTATTTCTATTTTGTATTCTTCATTATACTTACTGCTTTTTAATATTCTCAACTAGTTAGATCAAATCTGTGATATTCTAGTTATTGTACTGCTTTTTATTAAGTCTAAATATATGTATCATTTATGTATAACTTCTCGTCACGATATGGGTGAAATACTGCCGATGTGACGTTAAATATTAACTCACTCATTTACTCTATTTTGTTGTGGAATTACAATTGAAACTTTAAAAAGTATTACATATACCATTGCTCTCAAATTAAAAGTTCTGTCGCTTGAAAGGACCCTTGAAGATTCCGGGGTAGAATAGGTCTTCAGCAACTCATGCTTGCCGTAAAAAGTGACTATGCTTGTCGTAAAAGGCGACTATCGGGATCGGGTGGTCAGGCTGCTGACTTTGTTGATGCATGTCATCGATCCCTATTGCCTGGATCGATGTTCATGATAATAATCACTGGATTTTCTGGTCCAGACTTGAATGTTGCTGAGTGCGGTGTTAAACACCGAACAAGCCAACCAACCAACGATTGAAAGGTTCCATTACTATTTCATGTCGTTGGAAGGTGCAGAAAGTATGTAAAAAATAGGGAATCATTTGGTTCAGTCATTGATCATAATGTCAGTTGTGCTTACAACCGTTAGGATTTTGATATCATGAGGTATATGACATATTTTCTTGTTATTTTATGTACATATTGAAAAGGGTGGGGATATGGTCTTTTTGTTCTCACAGGCCGCTGTCGCATGGCAGAGCACGCTATTTTGTCTTTTTCGCCCAAGGGAATCTGTTTCGGAGGATAATAGAGACTGGATATTCTCCGGCGTCAACGTGTTATATTTCTATTGTTGTAATAATAGTTATGCAAAAGTGAATATATGTAAGCCTTTACGATTGGATGAACACATGACACTTTTTTATGGATAGCAACTTCTTTTATTCTTTGTACGACGCTTCTGAGCTACTTGTTGCTCCTTCATCAGGTGAATGTCTGTCAAAGTCTTTACGATTGTAGGTTGGTACATTTGTCAATATTTCAGACGGTTTGGATCCTACATAGTCGGTGTCCTCGTTGGCTATATACTGTTCAAGAACAAAGACAAAATTGCACTAAGCAAGGTAGGTTTCAAGCTCATGATCTCTTTATCTGCTTTTGTCCTCAAAATGTACTTCCTACTCTATGTTTGTAATGTGACTCAAGCCTCATCAACTGTTAAAGATTCTGGAGATCGAAAATGCTTCAGCTGATTGAAAAAATTGGAACACTTTTACAGATGAAACGTATGAAGGCGTCCGCATTTATTCGGCTTGGCGTCTAGAACCAACTAAAACGAAGACATAAAAAGTATGTGTTAGTCGTAAGAGGTATGCCAATTCTGAAAGCACTAAAGCTTCATGTGTAACTATTTGATGTAACTACGCATGTGATTGGCATATATGCTACTCAACCATTGATAGGGATATTGAGATATTTCATATCAGGTAGAAAAACAAAATTATAGTAATTTGGAACACATATAATATTGACCATAATCCTTAATACAATCAAGAGAGGTCTTTCTTTATATTCGCAGAAAGTATTTGAGACCTTTTCGCAAACACCTGGTAGGATCACTATATGATAGTGATTAATAAAAACATGCTTATGACATACTAGTAGTAGTAGTCGGAATCGTACAATGATTTATGGATATGGTTTTATTGTAGTTAATTGACCATACCTATGAATAGTTGAGTAGTATATATTCCAATAGATTCTCCTGTTTGAGATCTTATTGACGTTCCATTTGTACGAACCATTAACTTAAGGGACTTTTTGCTTGTGTTTTGTTGCCTTAGACAGCACAGATAATCGGTTGGAGTTGTGCTCTTGGCGTCATTTTCTTCCATGTCTTTGGCGAGAGTTTAACTTGTAAAGCAGTCATCAGAGACATCCTGGGCTTTTATCATGAACCGGTATTCAAGGTTTTGTGGACTGTAAGTTTCGGATGGATCGTTATCGCCTGTTCTACCGGGAATGGAGGTACGTACCGCTATGGAGTCTGATCCGGGTCACGGCTCTTTGAACTGGAGAACTCAATATAACGTTTTTTGGAATTAGAGCAGGTCGGTGTGTGTGTGTGTGTGTGTGTGTGTGTGTGTGTGTGTGTGTGTGTGTGTGTGTGTGTTTGTATGTGTGTTTGTATGTGTGTGAGTGTGTGTTTGCATGTGAGTGTCAATGTGTGCCTTTGTGTGTGTGTGTGTGTGTGTGTGTGTGTGTGTGTGTGTGTGTGTGTGTGTGTGTGTGTGTGTGTCTGTGTGTGTGTGTGTGTGTGTGTGTGTGTGTGTGTGTGTGTGGAAAAGGAGAAAGGTTTCACAAAACATAAAACAGACACACGTGGATAATATATCTCCCCATGTAGATTCAGTGTTACAATCCTCATGAACCAATGCTTACTATACGAGATAACCTAACTGATGCATCATCTACAGGCCGCTGTCGTATACATGTACATGTAGCTGCAATATTACCGGGTGCGGCGTTAAACAAAAAAAATGATTACATGAATTTCTGATTGTATGAATACGTTTATCAACAGGCATCATCAACAAGTTTCTGTCGTGGAAGGTGATGGCTCCCCTCAGTAAGCTTGGCTACAGCTCCTTTCTCACCCGCATTGCCGTGGGTCATATCTACAGCTCCAGATTACAGGACAACTGGCACTACACCTGGCTTGATACGGTTTGTTGGTTTGTTTGTTGGTTGGTTGGTTGATTGGTTGGTTTGTTGTTTAACGCCGCACTCAGCAATATTCCAGCTATATGACGGCGGTCTGTAAATAATCGAGTCTGGACCAGACAATCCAGTAATTAATATCATGAGCATCGATCCATGCCATTGGGATCGATGACATGCATCAACCAAGTCAGCGAGCCTGACCACCCGATCCCGTTAGTCGCCTTTTACGACAAGCATAGTCGCCTTTTACGACAAGCATAGTCGCCTTTTATGGCAAGCATGGGTTGCGGAAGACCTATTCTACCCCGGATCTTCACGGGTTTGATACGGTTTGTAATGTCCACATAAAGTGAGCGATTGATTAAAACTATAAGCTGATGTGCGGAAGATGTAGCCGTCAACATGTCTTCATCTTTTTCTTTTCCGAAGCAGAACTAAAAACGCTTTCACCATTCTATCATTAACTCTGCACGTATATCAATTAGGTAGATAAATAATACCATTTGATATTTAGGGATATATTTATATTTTATATTTTGTTGCCATTTGATGAAAACAAGTTGGACTTTGGATGCGGTTTGTTTCTGTCAGACCTACAGTCTGTGACCTACACTGTGGCATGAGTGTACTTATTGATTGTACTTTATGTCCCATAAATGATGGCTGTGTTTAAGAGTTAGCAAATACTGTCGAACATGTTCTTTACAATAGCTCTGTCTTCAAGTTTTGCTATTATGAACTCGGAAATATGATGGGAACGTGGGGGATATGCCATCTACTGATGCCTCTGAGGTGAGGTGAGGTGAAATTCGGTTTAACGTCGCGTCCAAGATGATTGCACTTTTATTGGTGCAATAACATCTACATATAGAAGTGTTGAGGTACAAAAGCATATTTATGTATATCTTGGGTATTATAGCATATTCATTTCGGATCCATCTTCAAAATAACACTCAGTAAGTATTGGATGAGCAAGGCTGTGTGTATTGATATGGATTGAAAATTGAAAAAAGCCCAGCTGCTTCGGTGCTCTTGAAAGATTACGTTGTGCATGAAAGTTCAAATATGTTGCAGATCACCTCCTACACCTGGGTTACTGTCTATGCGCTGTCAACATCCCTCCTAGTACATCTGCTATGTGTGGCACCAATGGGTAACCTGGTAGTCCTGTTGTGGAGCAGGACAAAGACTAAAGAGACCCGTGTCTTGGATGGGGATCCGATAGCAGTCAATCCTCCTAATCTCAAACTTAAGTCTAATTGACATTAATCTACGGTTACAGGGTATTCTTATGTCCATTTGGTTCAAATTGTGTTTGTCCCCCATTTTTATATAGTCACTATCAATGATAATATGTATATATTAATACGGACGTGATTGTACATCTTTCGAAATCGCACATATCCTTCAGCGTGTCATCCAAAAATGAATGTCCAGGGACCCGCTTACATACTTATCGCAAAGACATAAGTAACCACACTTAACCATGTCATAACCAGATGTTGATCACTTGCTTGATAATTGTACCAGCACCTCAACTGATCCACCATATTGGTAGAATAGGAGTGAGTGAGTGAGTGAGTTGGGTTTAACGCCGCTTTTAACAGTATTCCAGTTATATCACGGCGTGTCAGCTTAATGTGGGAGGAAAGCCCGAAGTGATGCAGGTCTCAGACGTTTACCACTTCGGTGAAACCCACGAGCACGGGTAAGGTGCTGACAAACCTAGAAACATAATCTGGGCGAACCGGGATTCGAACCCACAATCATAGGTTTCTGGCGTGCCCAAGGGACGCAACTCTGCACAGCGAATCGCGGCGCCTTAGACGACTGGGCCACCCGTGCCCCTGGTAGAATAGGAAGGTTTCGAAACCCATTAGCTAGTCATGTCTTCATTGGCACCACAGCTTCTTAAAGCCACTTCAAGATATCGGATGAATTTATTAAAATATGCATGTACATGATGAGAGTTGGGATTTGCACATGGCTTTGTTATCTCATAACAGCTGGCGTTGTTCTGAGGTGAAACAATGCTATCAAACATCGGAAACGAATGGTTAAATAACGGCCGAACCATCTGGTTAGCTGAATGCACATTAAACTGACACGCCGCGATATAACTGGAATACTGTTAAAAGCGGCGTTAAACCCAACTCACTCACTCACACACTCACTCACTCACTCACTCACTCACTCACAGAAGCGATTCGCCCAACCTGCAGTGAAACTGACAAAATGTTAATTTAGAGGACGCTGCATCATTTCCATGATCATAAGAGCATCGTGTTTCTGAATCAATGTCACATGGTGATGATACCAGGGACCACTTGCACAAAGCGATCTTAGCGCTACGACTATTGTAAGCCTATGTTAAAGTATGGGAGTTAAGATCATCTTAGCGCTAAGATCACTTTGTGCAAGTGGGCCCAGGTGTTCTCGAGAGGATGAGCGTATCCCTTGTCAGATAAATGCATTGGTTATTCAATGCGTTACATATATGAATTTATCTGTTTCATCTGTACTCTTACCTAGAATTTACAGGCAATAAATCTGATGAAATAGTATTCCACTGCTGTAAATTTACCCATATCACTGTCTCCGTGGTGTAGTGTATAGAGCGATCTTCGCAACTGGGATACGATGACATGCATCAGCCAAGTCAGCGAGCCTGACCACCCGATCCCGTTAGCCGCCTCTTAATGGGTTGCTGAAGACCAAGACTTCACGGTTGAGTGGCATCATGAGATGGGTTGGTAAGGATACCATCACTCTAACTAGTGCATGGGTTATATGTTACAAAGAAAACATAAATTATGCATGTACACACTACAGGCTGCAGACATATGTCTCCTGCAATGGTTAGTGAACAGAAAAAGACACAATATGGAAAATAACAATAACAATTTCAAACATGAGATTTCGGTACGTTTATCCGATACATCCGTTCCAAATATCAACAAGCTTGAAATACTCATATTCCCTGCCAATATGTCCGGTTGTGAGCACGGCAAGAAATATTGTCGTTGCCACGGAAACTCGAAAAATGTTGGGGGGGGGGGGGGGGGGGGGGGGGAGAGCTTAAATCCCAAATTAGAAGGCACCAGTTGTACGGTTTTCAAGATCTGCTCCGGAAAGGAGCACTACCGCCATTTTCAGTCTAATTCAAAGTGGAAACAAATCCGAAGCTATCAAAAGGCATCAGTTCAACATGAGATCGATCTGTGTGCCATGTTTGGTTAAGATATCTCTCATGTTTATTTAGTTCTGCGCCGGAAACGAAACGTGACGGACGGACGGACAGCACCCATTCCTATATCCCCCTTCCACTTCAAGGCGGGGGATATATAATGAACAATTGCTCAATGGAAGCAGGTACCACTGGACACCATGGTCTCAAGCTGAAATGTTCCAACAGCACAGATCTGAACAATAATTGCCTGAGACGTGTGAATTGAAATGAAATATTTGCACATTTATAAGCATTGTAAATGTCAGTTACAGTATATTATTCCTTTGCTATAGTTGGTTTTACTTATAGACAATTTATTTTAGAATGTGGGGCCATTTGAACCATCGCAAAATGAGAAATTCATATTTTATGTGCGCTTCTAACAATTTCCATTCAGTAGGTACGATGTTAAACATGTTAAAGATGATGTTACATATCAACTCTGTTTATAAATATACTATGCAGATAATAAGAAAAATATAATAATACTTCGTTTTGTTTAGATGTACAAAGCTTATTTAAGTTATAAGAATATACACTCTTCATACAAAAGGGGCCACATATTATACTTCTTTCGTTTTTGAGGTTTAACATAACACCCTTTTTAGTGAGTGAATGAGTATGGTTTTACGCAGCTTTAAGCAATATTCCAGCAATATTCCAGCAATATCACGGCGGGGGACACGAGAAATTGGCTTCACACACTGTACCTACGTCGGGAATCGAACCCGGGTCTTTGGCGTCACGAGCGAACGCCTTAACCACGAGGCTACAACATTTAGCTTTAAGATTTTTAATGTGAGGTTTTAATGATAACTTTTGATCAAAGGCAATACCCCAAAAACTTGGTTTCTTTGACCACTTTAATTGGAATATTATTTAAAGTCAATTCTGGATCTTTATGCAGTTTTCATTTGTTGCAAAAATGAACACAGCAGGTTTTTAGTTTTGGAAAATTTAAAACCGTTTTCTAAAGACCATTTTTTTATTTTATTGAGACAAAGTTGTAACTGTCTCTCAATGGTAGTCATATTTGCACCACGGCATGAAACATTAAAATCGACAACAAACAACGAACCATCAATATGTTCATTTACAACTATAGCAAGAGTGTTGATTTTTATGCTAAAAAGGGTCACTGATAAAATAATGCCCTGAGGGACCCCCATTTCTTGATCATATATCTCGGACAATGTGGAGCCTACTCGAACTTTAAAATTTCTATCTTCTAAAAAGCGAGTGATAAAGTCAGGCATACGGCCACGTATACCCATGTCGTGGAGATCTTTTAATATACCATACTTCTATGTGGTATCGTAAGCCTTCTCAAGATAAAAGAAGATCGACACAACATGCTGCTTGTTTACAAAGCCATTCCGTACAAATGATTCCAATCGGACAAGATGATCGATGGTGCTCCTCTGGTGTCTAAAACCACACTGAATGTCTGTGATCAGATTATTTGATTGAAGAAACAAAACAAGACGCCGGCTGATCTTCCGTTTTATGGTTTTACAGAGACAACTTGTCAGAGCAATAGGTCTGTAATTAGAAGAATCTGTGTGATCCTTACCTGGTTTAGGCACAGGTATTATAGTTGCCTCATGCCAAGAAGGAGGGAAGTTACCATTTTCCCATATACTATTAAATATACATAAAAGGGTTAAAAGAGAAGGCTCAGGAAGATGTTTCAAAAATTGATAGTGTACGTCATCTTGCCCAGAGGTTGGCCCAGAAACTGACATTCGTAAGCAGTTTAAATTATTGGCCGTGGGATGTTTATTGAACACTCTTTCACACTTTTTCCTATTTTTCCTAGCTTTTCTACAATCATCATTATACCATGGTGTTTTTACATGTGGATTTGTCGAGGTCTTGGCGATGGTTTCTGTGGCAATGTTAATTAATTTATCATAAAACGATCTGATCTGGTCAAGATCACCAATAAAATTTTCAAAGGTCAGTTCATCATTGCACATGGTACTAAAGGTTTGCCAATCTGCCTTTTTAAGTTTACATTTAGTAATGGGTGGGTCCTTACAAGGAACGACAGTTTTGGGAAATGATTTCTCCCACACAGGTCATCATGTACTGACCATGAGAACTCATCCAAAAGAGACGGATCAGCAAAGGATAAATCAAGAGCTGAGTAAGTACCAGTCGCTGGATGTAAATACGTGTTGCTACCATCATTAAACAGACAAATATCATTTTTCTGGAGCAACTGTTCAAGTATTTTCCCTTCATGATTTTGATCACCTGAACCCCATAAAGGGTTGTGACCACTAAGATCGCTCATAAGCAAAAATGGCTTCTAAAATATCAAGAGTGAGTGGATGATTTGAGCGGACATTTTTTAATGCCTGTAGGCATGACAATTGAGTGAGTGAGTTAAATTTTAAGTCACATCGGCAATATTTCAGCCATATCGTGACTATCAATAGTTAAACATAATACATATATTGAAACTTGTATAAAACCTGTCAACGAAGGACAGTAAAATTACTAGATTCATCACAGGAAAAGATATAAAACTAGTACGGAATTATAAATGAAATAGCACTATACATAACGATACAAGATAAAAACAGGCTACAGATCGCCAGCAGCTGAAGGTAGACCACCATGGTAGGGTCCATGGGCTTAGCATCCTGAAAAGAGATGTTCCGCTCATGTTTTACTTTTACAACCTTTGACTCACGTTTCCTTGTTGGACATTCTTTTGATAGGGAAACATGGAAAAATGATTTGAACGGAGGAGGCGTTGCACGTACGTGGGAAGCACTGCCAAAAAGTCGCAACCATATATCAGACATTCCGGATGGTTTGTTTGTTCAGTTTTCAAAATTTTAATCGAGAACTGTGTCAACATATTTTTTAAGCGTAGTCTGAAACGGAGCGAGTGAGTGAGTTAATATTTTAATTCACATCGGCAGTATTTCAGCCATATCGTGACTTGGAACAAGTTATTACATATATAAAAAACTGCCGCCAAAGGACAGTACAACAACTAGCAATATATCACAGATTATAACTTTAAAACTAGTTTTAGAACAATTAAATGATTTGATTATGACAGATGACACATTATAAAAACAGGCTACTGATCACCAACAACTTAAGTTAGGCCACCATACCGGGGACCATGGGGACTTACAGTACCTTTGCTACCTGCATGGACCCCGGTAGGATTTACACCATCCCTTCAGTTATTGGTGGTTATGGAGAAATTTAGCCAAAATTAAAACAAACAATTATTCTACGATTAAAAACCTGGTATATATAAAATACTTTGAATGAAGTGGGCTTACGCACCCTCTCTG